TAAAAAAATGCATTGTAAAAAATAATATGAAACAATATTGGAACATTACGTCAATCGAATTTTTAACTGAAGATAAATTGAAAACCAATATTTTTCGAAGTGTACGTGATGTTTCAGCGGTTCGCGAATCAGAGACATACGTAGGATTAACAAGAGTTGTCAGTAATAAGACGTAAAAATACCAATTAAATTCGAACGTACATAAATAAAGAATAAAGTATTATCGATTATAAAATTCAATTTCAAAGTTCGATAGAGTAAAAAAAAATGTTCTCTCCTTCTTTCCCCAAGAGCAGATAGTAATTTTCTCGCAGAAGGAAAGAATGAACGAGCGCGTTTGCATCGCGCGTATAATTTCTTACCCTCGCTCAACTTATTCTTCGCTAGCGCTGTTTGGTTTTCATTAACGACTTGTAATCGACTGGCCCTCCGCAGCTGGCGCTCTCGTTGCCCTCGCCTTTCTTCTTATTCCATTTTTTTTTATTCCTAACAAAGCGAAATTATTCGTTGCCGAGAAACAAATAGATGCGAACCCTCTCCTTGTCCCTCGTTTTTTTTACGTGTCTGTGTGGCATTGTCTCTTTAGCGATTGGACACGTGGGAATAGATATGATCTATAGGATAATAGGTCTGACAGCATCAATTGGCTTCACAGAAAAATTTCTGCATCAAGCTTTCGTGTGGTCATCTCAATCAACAAGATGACGGCATGGTAATTCCTTTGACTTTTCAGCTAGCTTTGCAATATTAATTCTCCTTTCATCTCGCGCGCTCTCTTTAGCGTATTCTTCAGCCATAGCACGTGCCTTGTGAATGCAGATGCGATTGGTTTGCCTCTATTCGCATCAACCACCCGTACGAACCCGTTTACACGAATAGCAAAACGTCGCCTTTCAATGACTTTATCCAGCGCATATAAAAAGTCGTACAAGAATGAACTCTGAGCGATTTTTATCAAAGGTTTCGGCATGCAAGAATTAACGCAACGAGATATCCTCGACCCACGGGGACTTCGTCGTGCGGGTTTGTTCGCTATACACGTTGATCGCACGAGGATGCGAATAGTTAATCGACTGTGAATGCGAGATGAGGGCGTATAGCGACTGGTGTTCAAACACTGTCTTTTTTTTATCAAAGAAACAAGAAATCCGAAATCTGTCAACAACCAAACTCTCCCCTGCGAAATGTAAAGAACAGCCAAGAACGAACGAAAAGACATTCGTCGTCCCCAGGCGTAATAAAATAAAACGCGGAACAAGGAAATATATATGATATCCACGAATTCATTATTCGCGCACACACGCACACACGCACACAGAGAGGCGCGGAAATTTGGCTCGGGTAATTTGTATTCCGCATTTCTCCAGCTGACGTGGTAGCGGCAAACACCGCTCTCGTCTTTCTCCCGCGAGAACTGTATAGACGCTCGCGCGAATCGTCGCCGCTCCGATGTAGTTGCGTTTGCTCGTGCATGCCTCGGCGCTCACCTCTCGATAAACAACAAGAGGTATCGCAGGCGAGACAGGCAATCGCGGGACAAGAAAGAACGAGCTGATTATGCGCGAGAGCGATTTGAAGGCGCGTAACGCGATTTAATATTAAAATATTATGACAAACGTCAATAGAATTTGGCGCGAGGCGCGAGCGCGTTGATTGGCACCGCGCCACGTTGAATACCAAATTTCGCGCGCTGCTTGCTGCGCGCTGTCCTCCGGCACTTCTTAAGGCTTTATTTTCGCGCTAAATCGAGTTCTTTTTTCACTTGTCAAGAGGAATTATTTGCGATTCGCTGCTGGTTGCAATTCATTTGCGTGATTTTCATCTATTCATATTTGGAAGAATAGTGAAAAATTGTGTTCGCGACATGTGCGCTCAATATTTTTGGTTCGTGCGCTATCTCTGCGATCATCAGTGAGGATGCTGCATCTCTCCACCAACAGCTGAACACGCGTGGGGAAAACCCCTAAGGTCCCTACATGTGTCACCGGTCGCATGACAGGTTACACACGTTGAGGTCATATTGGCCTAAACTAGCCGTCGTTGATGTCGGCTAGATGAAAGTCTGGATGGAGAGATGCATCATCTTCAAGGCTCCTCATTGGTTTCTGCTTGAAGCCCCTAATGAGAGTAGGGGGTTTCCGCGTTCGCAATGCGGCAGACCTAACAGAGTGACAGCCAGTTGTCTTCAGAGGATAGAGGAGCCCATTTCGCTCTTGTTTTGCGTCCATTTTCGCGTGCAACTTAAGTGTGTGAGTTGTGCCTACGTGCCCGCTTCTACTTCAAGCTTCTACGAAGCTGCAACCGACCCGGTGACCCGTCGAGGTCCAAGGACAGGACAGCTTGCTGCCTTGGGAGAGGACGAGACGCGTCCTCTGGGGTGTCTCCAACCACGCGGCTTTGCCCATTTTCTTCTCGGCTACGAGGTAGCGAGGGCTGACCCGTTTCCGAGACGTCGGAGCTACCGAGGGCCTTTTCATTATCCTGGGGACACCTTCCTGCCCGATTGTGCGTATGCGAAAGTCACCGGAGTAGTTTTTAAGTGAGTTGAGTGGCCATTCAACCGCGCCTTAATGTAAGTTCATGTATCTGTATTGTAACATCTTTCTGTTCTTTGTTTGACCTTGTTTATTCAAACCAATCGGATTGGTATATTTGTGATTGCCAAATGGCTTTTCCCTCACCTACGGCTGGGGTTTTTTATGCCGGCTGACAATTATAATTATATTTATAATCCTTATTTTATTAATAAAATAGTACGTTAAAGAATTCTGGTTATTAGTGTAGAGTTAATCCAAACCTCCTTTAAAATAAAACAAAATAAATAACAAGATTATTCGGACTTCGAATCAAAGATTATAATTTTAACTTTGTGCCTCTCTTCTTACTTGCACCTCTATCAAGTAAACAAATTGTCAAAGGTAAAAGCCTTGAAATCCACGCACTCGCCCGTTCGAATGATCTCGCTCGTAAAAGTGAACGAATAAATAACTGCGCGGTGATAGCTGCGCTGTGTACTCAGCGAAATTCAGCGCAGCTCTGGAAACCACTAACCAAACACTCGGACCTCCCACAACAGTCTCGCGACGATAACGCCTCTTCTTGTTTACCTGTACACTACAAAACCGCAGCGGCGCATTGAAGTCGCCAAAAGCGAAATATATAGCAGTCATCGCGCCAGCGCGGAAACTTTGTTTCTTTTTACCATTCAATCCTTTTAGAGCCGACTCGTCGAGCTTGAAACGATCTCTTAATTCGTTAATTAATACCACCGGGAGAGAGAAAAGGAAAAAGATTTCTTAGACGTCCGTCGTCGCGACGCTCCCGAAGGAAATCCCATTTTTTCCGGCTTTTGATTGTCGCGCTTTGCTTGGCTTAATTATCGCTTCCTCGCGAGACGCCTACCTCGTTTTTGGGATGAGAGGGAGTCAAAGATTTGGACTTGTCTATATAGACAGCTTTCCTATTTCATCGTGATGTTCCCAATTTACCATAATCTCTGTAAAACGAATAATTAAAAATACGGACGTTAAATTATTAGCTGTTAATTAAGCTTAAACTATCGGAGGAGAAGCCATTGGTAGTCTGTTTTATATAATTCACATGCCCCACCAAACGTAAAGCTTTTGCGACGACGTAAACTCTCAAGACACTCGCGAAAAAGCTGTGTGTGCCCGGGTACTTTTGATTAATCCCACTTGTCGTTGAGGCTAATTTCGTGATCACAAAAGCTCCCGAAAAAAAGAAAAAAGAGATACGTAAGATCTCTCTCTCTCTCTCTCTCTCTCTCTCTCTCTCTCTCTCTCTCTCTTGGCGCGTGTACACACGAAAGACGTACAGTCGAAGGAGCATAAAGAAGAACCGCTTCGTTCTCCCCCTTGAGGACCATCGACATTGCGGATAAAACGTCTCCGAAGACTTTCCGGGCGGAAAGGAAAGGTTAAATAAAGAGGCTGTTGTTGGCTGTTCAGATTTTGCACTCCGTTATATACATATCGAATCGTACGGCCCTTCTACTTTTTTCCATTGGAATCTTTTTCCTAGATGACGACGTCGTTTTTTTTTCTTTGCCGGCTTTTGTAACTATGCCGTTTATATTGAGCTGTGGTTTCATTTTTTCTATATAAGTCTGAGGATCGACGCGAGGAAAGTTTTGACGAGGGACAGAAAATTGTACTTGATCGAACAGGAAAATCTTTTATCGGTACGAGGTAAATATTTATAAGAGATGTGTTAGTTTCAAGCGGTTATTTATCAACATGAAATGCCAAATTTAAATAAATTCCATTTTCGATTGCGATCACTATTTATAATTAGCACTATCATTAGTAGATTGCAATGGATATTACTTTGCGAAAATGACAATGCTCAGCTTGAATTGAAATGTCCCGTAACCAACAAAGTAAAGCAATATATCCTGTTATTGCAGGTCGCTTCGAAGTAAAAGCTTGTGCAAATAGCGCGTTGTTTACTGATAAATGTTTATCGATAAGCGTGCATCATTCAATGGTAATACTTGATAACCTTCAACTTTAAGAAAATGGAAGTATGCATCCGAAAGATAAGAAAGCTCATTACATTTATTATTCGAACAATAAGAATGCGCTGTTGTCGGGAAAAAACACATACCGCCAGAAAACAAAATATAACTACCTAGAAAGCGATGTTTCACTAAATTTGCCCAGTTCACGTATTCACCCATGATTGTGTGTTTAAAAACATTATAAATACACATTCCACACTTCAAGAACTAAACGTTTTTAATGAAATATTTAAACTGTCCTTCAGTTTTTATAACTTCAAGAACGTTTCAGTTTAATTTTGTATTCGTTACTTCAAAAAACTTAAAAATAAATTTATAGCTGTTACGTCCGTAAATATTTGATACAATCCCCATTACGTGAAAATTTCGTTTGTCATCATTATCATAAACAAAAGTCATAACCTCTGTCAAAGCCAATTATCAATTTCATCGGAACCTACATTCTCTGTCACCTTAACAGGCAAGCAGTTTATATGCAGCGCTAAAGCAACAGCAGCAACATCAGCAACAGCAGTGCGACACACGTGTTAGCCGCTGCCGTGAAGGCAGAAGTTCAAGCGTCGAACGACAGCAGCAGCAACAGCCCGAGGTAAGCATCGAGTATCAGAGCAATGGGAAGCTCAGTCCAAGCAGCATCGGGCAGCAGCACGCAGTGACATCAGCGGCAGCGGTAGCAGCAGCAGCGGCAGCGGCAGCGGCAGCAGCAGCAGCATCAGCACCATCAGCAGCAGTAGCACCCATGACCCAGCAAAAGCAGCCTATCATCACGCAGCAGTCGCAGCAGCCGAGTTCCGGTGCACCGGGACCACAGCCTAGTCCGCATCAGAGTCCTCAAGCACCGCAACGGTAAATCCTGTTAGAGGGAGGAGAGGGGAGGGGGGCAAATTTCAACCGGATCTTTCGATAAATTAAAAATGAGAGGGGCAACGCATAATAGTACAACTTTTCGTTTACTTATCCAGATTTTTCATTTGAATTATTTTGTGAATACCTTGTGCAATAAAAAAGTCCTCGCGCGTGAAAAAGGTCACTAGTAATGACAACTTTGAAAAAATCCTATTGACGAAACGACAAGTAATTACTTAGAATTTTGTTTGTTTTCTGGTTCAATAGGGCCTCACCGCCCGACCTATCTCAAGGTCCACCGGGAGGACCACCTGTGCCGCCGTCATCCGCGAGCGCGGCGGCTCAGATGATGCTCAGTCCCAACAGTGGTCTCCATCAGATGCAACAGATTCTCCAACAGCACATACTCAATCCAACCCAATTGCAGTCGCTTATGCAGCAGCATTCGCTCTACATGCAGCAACAGCAGCAGCAGCATCATCAGGATACCACGCCCGAACATGCCTCCAGTCAAGACAGATTCAATTATTTTTCGTCCCTCAAGAACGTAAGTTCGCGTTAATGTTTCGCGAATGAACGAACCGAACTCACGAGTTGATCTCTTCAGCATCATCATCAACTTGCCGAGCTGGGACGAAAGCAGTTGGAGCAAGCGATGCAGCAGCTGCAAGAGCAATTGCAGCTCAATTTCATACAGCAGTCCCATCTACTGCAGACGACCGACAAGAAGAAAGCATCGGCGCCACTGCAGCAGTTGGCGCTGCAGCAGCAACAACTGATACAACAACTGCAGATCACGCAACGTCAATATTTACTGCAACAAGGTTTAGGATTGCAAGGGCACAATCACTCGTCGAGTATGCAGCCGACCGAACAGTTACCTGGATGGAAAGCTGAATCGTCGGAAAGCTCGGAATCCCACGCCAATTCTAACGTGTCGAAGTCTAGTTCTGGTCTAAACGGTAAACAATTCAGATTTCACATTTCATTTCCAGAGATTTTAGTTGCTTTTATTTTGTGTTTATTTTATACCGGGGCGCGGCGATTTATCGCAGGCCTTCTTAATTCCTTAGTGTCGAGTCGTCGCGAGATCAATGGTACGACGCAACTGGATGAGAAGCCGCTCGACGCCAGCTGTAACGAGAAGGTACAGCATCCTCTCTATGGCCATGGCGTTTGTAGGTGGCCTGGCTGCGAAACTGTCTGCGACGACTATCAGGCATTTCTCAAGTAAGTTTACTCAGCTTTAAATGTCATTGTCACAATAGTCTAACCGAGCTTTAAATGCGAGTCATCGTTGCTTAGCAAAAAGATGCAATCGGGAAACAATAATTTATACCTTTCTCTTGTTAATGTTTGCAACACTCAACCGCATTGTTGAGCTTCTCCGACAATTCATCTCTTGTCTTTCCCTCTGCTTTGATCAAGTATAAAAGGAGACTAATACGAGATCAAATTTTTCATCTCTTTCACAAAAAAACATCGTATAAAAACTTTGTTTGTCATGATTTTAGACATTTAAATACTGAGCACACACTGGACGACAGGTCGACGGCACAGGCACGAGTGCAGATGCAGGTCGTCTCGCAGTTGGAGATCCAACTGCAAAAGGAGCGCGACAGGTTAACGGCTATGATGCATCATTTACACATGGCCAAGCAGATGGCTTCGCCTGAGCCACCAAAATCATCGGAATCATCGGTAATACAATCACTAAAGTCTCTAGATAAGATATTGATAATCGTGATTTGTATGAAATCTTTCATTTTCGATGTTCACCTTTGGGAGTCTGTACTTTATAGTTTTATCTTTTTTAGTTACAATCATTTGTTATTTGTTGATTTCCTTTTTTTATTTTGTTTTGTTTTTTTTTTTTTTTTTTTTTTACACAATGGAGAAAAATGACTTTTTTTAGAACACATCAAACATGCCGAAACTGAGCTTATCATCAGCGTTGATGAATCAGCCACCACCAGCATTCTCGCAAGTGTCACCAGTATCGATGTCGGCACTTGTCTCAGCGGTGAGGTCACCAGCAGGTGGTCAATTGCCACCATCCTCGGGTGCACCGGGAATGCCACCAGGTTTACCGAATATGTCGGGTATGCCACCCATGCCTAATATGCCTGGTGGTATGCCAAGCATGCCTAGTATGACCAACATGGCTGGACCTATTCGTAGGCGGATCAGTGATAAATCGACGCTAGCGCTCACTGGAGGTGAGTAGGTTTTTTTCAATTTATTTTAAATCGGGTAGGCGTCTGATTTTTTTCTTTCGACGAGTGGTTTGATGTCGACTTTTATTCATTTACATTTTTATATTTTTCAACGTCGATACGCTTTTAATTCTCAATGATGTAATTTATGATCGGTAACAAACAACAGACTGGTAATGTTGAAGAATCGTCTACACGTGTCGTATCGTTATTAATCAAATGAATGTTAGGTCAACTTTGTACAGCTGTTGTGAGAAAGGTATCGCCTCGGTAGTTCGGGCGTTTCATTATTATTTACTGAAAAACAACAAATCATGCTGAATCGCCGCAACGACAGAATTTTTATATTTGACTTATCGATTTTTTATTCGAATCTGCTATGTAGTGTTATAAGTCTTTATTTATCTTTAATAATATATTCATCTCTAATTAACATTCTCATACAGATATATCCTAACAAATGTCGTCTTCTTTATATTTCACTTATAATTCAGAACTATGTAAACATTATTTCATATGTATTTCTAAATTTTATAAATTATTGAATTTTAAAGAAAATTTAGGTCTGTCTTTTCTATCAGAATTTGTAAATTAACACTGAAATTGAGCCAAAAAAACTACAAGAATCATTAATTCTTATCGAAATTGAAACTAAAAACTACTATTCGTAGGACTGTATGACGAGGGCACTGTAAGGCGCAGAGTATCCGTCGATAGATCTGGATTAGATATTAACGAAGGTAATTTGAGTTCCATGAGAAAGCAAAAAATAAAAAATCGAATATGGAAAAATTCGATTCTGCGATCTTTAAGCTAATAAAATGCACTAAACTACATTCGATTTTAGAAATAATATGCACATTTTTAAAATTTGATTGGAAAAGGTTTAAAAAAAGTTTGAAGCATTTTCAACAGCTCGAAAAGATCGAAAAGATCGAAAAGATCGAGGAGGAAAGATTTTTTCTTCCCCCCTGTAGTTGAATGCTCTTTACGGTCCTCTCTTAATCTCTGTCTACTATATTTTTGTGTAATTGTCCCGTGTGTTTTGTGAAGCAAAGTAACAGCACTAACTTTTTCATACATATCCATGCAAAAACAGTAATTTCAGAATTATATAAAAACGTATATTAACTAGTGTCGACACCTTGTTGGCGCAGTTCAGTGCATCAACGCAATATAAATGAGACAAATTCAGATAAAAAAGATGCATTACCTACTATTTTTTATTAATTGTACGTATACATCGAAGTCAAGGCTGCAAACCGATCAAAGAAATCGGCAGAATCCGTTGTTTCTGACTTTAAGCGATGGTCAAACGATATTTTTGTAATTTTACTGTTTTTTGAATAAGCTTCTTGTTGATTGTTAATGAAAAATTTTTAATTAATATGTATTTATACTCAAGCAAAACTTTGCAAAAATCCACTGTAGGTAATAAAAAAAGAAATTACTTTTAATTATAAATCAAAGAAGCTCGTTAAAAAACCTTAAAATTAATCAAAAATAGCAGGTCATACCTTCCACGTGGCTCCGTTGCGCCGGAAATAGCAGAATGTATTTGAATAGAGTGATCCCGTCGTTTCTTAAAGTCAGCGACAGTTGATATTTGTCGCAATTTCCAAGTCGACTTGCAGCCGCGTTTGACTAAACAAAATGATAATAATGATAAAAAAAAGTCGTCGCGCGATTCGATCGAAGAATCGTTTCTCTCATTTGTCCGTTTCTTTGTACTGCCCGTGTAGGGCTGCCCTACATGCTGGAACGCGCTGGCCTAGACGTCCAACAAGGTACTGTCTATTTTTTCGACATGTCTTTGTGTAGATATTTCAATTTCCTCGTAGATTACTGTTAGAATTGTTTTTTTTTGTTTTTTATACGATTTTTTCCATTTGCATGGATGTTCTTTTTCGTTGCATTGCATTCAAATTATTAATTGAACAATTTTTTAAAGTATAGATAATTTCTCAAAGTACAATAAAATCTCGATGAATTTCTATTTGTGTTTAAGTAAATGTCCGTCTGTACAACGTGAATTTGTACTCTTGTTATGTTTATTTGCTATATTTTTACAACATTTTTTTTGTCCGAAACGATTTCTTAAAAAATGCAATAAAATTAATAATGTTTGTTTGTGAAATATATAAGAAACAAAATGAATATTATAGAAATGTAAGTATATCAACAACCTCAGTCGTGTTAGTAGTAATTTAGATTTTTAAATAATAGTTTCCACCGTTTCACGTATTGAATGAAATATTAAGTTGGAGTGTTAATTTAAAAGAGTTTTATCTTGAAAATAAATGAAATCATAGCCAATCTAGAAAAAAAGAGAAACTCATAAAGTGAACAAATACGTGGTCTGATATCGCAAGTATTTAGTTAACTAAATCGACTGTAATATTGACACCGCGTGTAAATTCAAATAACAAAGAATAGATTACATTTCATATTCAATTATTTAGATTTTAAAGAACTTTATTATCAATTTCTTTGCATGTTGCCAATTCACTTGATATTGATAATGAATATTTTTTTTCCAATTTCTTGTGTTATCGTTTAATGTAAAAAAGAACAAACATTCATAGAAAACGTATATAGAACAAGTCTAATATTCATATCAACTGCGACATTGATTCGCTTTTGTAAATCCGCAGAGCCACCTGTTTTTGTTTGTATTTCTCTCTTCACAAAGCAAATTTACGTCACGAATTTATCAAGATATATGTTTGTATTTATTCAAGACTATGATCGATCGTTTTCCAATACGTAAAAAATTCCAGGAAGCTACGCAGATGAATAAAGAAAAGTATGTCAATTGTAAACTCGATCGATCATTATTTTGTTAATTTAGTAAAAAAAATTTGTTACTTGCAGATTGCAAGTAATTAACCATAGCTTAGACTTTGATTTGACATTAAGCTAAAATTATATTTTTATTTCAGAAATTCAGCGAAATAGGGATTTCTACAAAAACGCAGACGTCAGACCACCGTTCACGTACGCATCATTGATACGTCAGGTAATTGATTTTAATGCACCTATAACGCTTACAGCTGTGAATTTACATCAGATAACATAACTCTGTAGTCTCTTATCACCGATAAGTTTTTTTATACTGGTAACAAACTGCTTTTTTTTTGGTCATTGAACACTGAGAAGATAGCGCTCTTTTCAGTTTAGGAATTGTTCATTAACTCCTTTAAACCAAAAATGAATATTCTGTATTAAAATGAATTTATATTCATAAGTCAATATATTTTTACAGGTGTGTAAGAGTATATCTTGTTAAATTCGAATGAAAAAGTATAATGGTTATATTTTAATCCTCAGATCACGTGAAATCATTAATCCATTAAGAAAGAACCATTGACTAACTCGTCTTCTCTTGCAGTCCATTATCGAATCTCCGGACAAGCAATTGACGCTAAACGAGATATACAACTGGTTCCAAAATACATTCTGCTATTTCCGGCGCAACGCAGCAACGTGGAAGGTATGATCTGTTTTAATTTTTTTTTTCCGCGGTTTTCTGGAACTTTACGGTAAATTTTTATTTGCGTATGATAAAACGTTTTATACTAGTTAAAAAAATATCGTTAAAATGATATTACCGTTAGATTATTTATTTGAAAAAACAATTGAGAGTATTCGAAATGGAATAACTTGAAAACGTAGGAAGTGGAAACGAATTTTTGAAAATACAAACAGATTCAGATTATGTTCGTTACTTCGCTTAAAAGCTGCTAAAAAAAATTATAAGTCTACGTTGTAAAAATAATATCGAATTTTGAAATTGTCCGAACTATTTATTGTAAATATTTTGCAATACTAAATGATATTTTTGAAACACAATCAAAATATAATATAATCTCTTCGTTCTTTTAGTCCGTTTAATTCGCAAAATGAATGATTCTTCACTGGGAAAAAAAGACGTAAATAAATAAATAGATAAAATATATCATTTAGCATAGCAAGTATCGTATAACAAAAGAAAAAAGAACATCGAAACTAGGTCTCCATTGTCGATTGCAACGTGTGTGCTCCTCTCTAAAAGAGTGAAATTAATCCTCTCGACGTTTGCCAGAAAAGCTTCGCCTCGCATGGATTTGTGTTGAAATTCTCACCTTAATCAACGAAAAAAAGCATATACAGGTCATCGACGTTACAGCAGCAGAGCTGAGAATCATCGCAGAACCAGAACGCCAGAAGTCTTTGTTGTTTTTATACTTTACTTTTAAACAATTCGTTCTTTTTTCGTATTAATTTCGTTTCAGTTGATCGCCAAAAGAGTCACTAATTATCTTTTCTTTTTCAAACATTGATATTTATGAGCCCTGCGGCATGAATTTGTTGTCGTTGCCCTTTAGTTTTAGTCACCTAGCTGTGCATTTTTTATTGACATGAGAATGCCACATATACATCATTACCTATGTCTTTCAACGATATTTTAGTATTGTTTTCATTTTATTTTCTTTCACCAATACACCTTTCTCATTCTCAACTTTGCAATATTTCTTATTAAATACATGCGACAACTACAAATATCTATTAGACAGTCATTGTATACGCACTTTATTTTTTATTTGTTGAACAGTTTCATACGTAGTGTATAATAAATGTTTACTATCCTGTACATTGTCACAAATAGACGATTGTATAATTAGATAGTATTTTCTTGCATAATAGAGACAAAATATCAAACACCAATTTACCGACATTACAGACAGTCACACACTATAAACAGTAGACTGCGTGCTGCTGCTGGTTTATCGCCAGTAGATAATTACTGCACGTCACCATTGCCTTTCTATATATTTACCTCTCTCAACCTGTCTACAACTCTCAGAACCGTCGCAGTAATTTTTCTTTTTCATTATTTTTTTTTCGTCGTCTTTTTTTTTCAAGGTCACTAAAAAATCATGATATTTTTCACGATCTCGTTGAAAAATACAAGCTCGCACGCAACCAGGACAGTGAGAGAGAGGAAAGAGCAGCTTTATTTAATTTGTTGTCATTTTTCAGTTGTCGCTAATCCTCTGGTTCTTTTTTGTTTCTTTTACAAATTTTATGATTTTCTTTTTGAAAAAAAAAGCTCGAGGAATGAAGAGAAATATGTTTTTTTTCTTTGTTTTTGCCTTTTCAGTTGCGTTTTTTGCTTATTTAGTCTGTGTATTATTTTGTATAGAACGCAGTGCGACACAACCTGTCTCTCCACAAATGTTTCATGCGAGTCGAAAACGTGAAAGGGGCCGTCTGGACGGTCGACGAGGTGGAGTTTTACAAGAGACGCCCTCAGCGCGCTTGCAGCACCACTGGGTACGTTTGCCCCCTATGACCCCCCTCTCTCATTCAATAACCTTTTTCTACATATACTTTTATTTTTTTTATTTATTTGTTTCATACTATATTCTAGACCCCATTTCTCGACTTCGACTACTTATAATATAATTATCTCTCGAAACTTTTATATACCACATTCGTGCGACTTGTTTATACTTCTTTGATATTTTCTTTATTTATTCTCATACTTTTATACTCACTGCTTCAATCGTGATGTTTTAAAACATTTTATGGACGATCGGTTACGATTTCGTTCAACTAAGTAGACCATTTGATTATCGATCGTGCACATTTATATATCTACTTTTCAAACCTATGTTCATTCTCCTTCTCCTCTTCTTCTTAAACTGTTTTCTCAATTTCTCTGTAGTTATTTACACAATTTATGGTAACTAAAAATCCAATATTTATCATAATCTTAATATAATAAATCTCGATATTTTAATTAATTTTCAATGCTGTTGGATTTTTCAGTTAACCAATCTTTTACACATTTTTTGAACATTTTTTACCTTAGATATTTACTCCCGCTTTTAGATACGATTTTTTAATACAATTTTTATAACTACATTTTTATATATACGCTTTTTTATTTTTTTATCTTTAGATCTATTTTCTACGTTACTTATTACATCTTTCTCTAGTAGATTAGTTGACATTTTTATTCACACATTGCTTACATACACCTGCACGCCAACACTTTATTATCATCTTTTACACTGTAGCTTTTCTCGACTATTGACTAAAATTTTTTTATCTTTACACTATCTTGTACACTTATAGCTTTTTTATCGCTTTTTCATAAATATATACTCACATCTTTTTGAAATATCTATGTGTCTTTTGTACATATTTCGAGGAGGACGTTGTGCGTATAAATACGCGCGATTTCTAAGTAAATACGCGTATTTTACCTCTGCAAGTCGTCTACTTCATTTACTTGTACTACTAGTTTTTTAAAATTTTTTACCATTTTTTAAATATATATGTCTTTCTATACGTAGTTCTAGTAATTTTGTCATAAGCTCTCTATTTGTCGTTTAGTATATTTGTCTTTTTTATCGCTATAGTTTTTAAGATCGCGTTTTTATCTCTCCTTTAGTCATGAAGATTTTGATACTGAAGTTTCTTCACCATTGGGAATTCTTCTACCATCTTATTGCTTGTTTCTTTAATTGTATTTTCGTTTGTGAATTTTCCGAGTCGAGATATTGCTTGAGAAATTTAAAGCTGTTTTGACAACCGTCTTGCTTGTTTGTGCGTTGATTATTTAAACGAAGATTGGGTGAAAAACAGTTCAAAATTTCTCCTAATTTACGTACTTACATTTCTCAAATTCATTACTTCAAAGGCAATGTTTATTTATCGTGCTACATTATTTTTAGTATAATTGCATTGTTTATGTATTGTTAATTCATGATTGCATGAAAATATATTCTTACAAGTCTTACTTAAATTTAAATAGTACACTATTTCAGCATATCTACATTATTCATAGCTTAATATTTAATACTCAATTGTAATGTTGTGGGTAAACAGTAAGTATCCTCAAAATTACTACATATATTCAATAAAGCATGCTCTCACTTCATGAAAGAACATCCACAAAAAATAGACTCGACTCGGGAAATGAACAACCCCTGACCTGTCCCCTCAAAAAAATCAAGGAACAAAAAAGAGATGCGCTTGTGTATATGTGTGCGTGTGCGCGCGCGTGTGTGGTCATAAAGGACGTTCAGAGAAGGGAGTGTGCGTGATATTTAGCGAAGGATACCGTCAGGAGTTTGCCTAACGAGCATGCGGGCTTTGCAGCGACTAACAGTGCCAGTCTGTAAATGCGTGTCTGTTCTCACTTCAATTTCTTTTGTTTTTTTTTCTATGTCTCTGCCGACTCTCTGTGTTGTGTATACAAAATTAGAAGAGTGAAAATTGGCTCTAAACGAAAAACGGATATTTTGATTGATGTAGAGGCGAAGCGTTGAGCTGTTTTCTCTTTCTTTCGCGACTTCAACAGCTTATATAGATTTTCATATAAGTTGCGATCGAAAGTTCAAACTAGAACGCATATATGCACGTGTTTTATTGATTAGATGAATAATTGCACATGTGTAGCTAGTTTATTCTACATAAGAGATTTTAAACCTTCTTCTTATATACGACGCAAAAACATACTCTTCTTGTTCTTCATTCTTTTTTTGTTACTTGGGGATTCCTTATGTTCTCTCCGCTCGGTCAACATACCACTCTGACGTGAGCCATGTATGCACGCACTCGCACCGTCAGAGCGACGTCTGCCGTTGTATAGCGAGCGGGTTTAGTTTTTGTTGGAGAACATAATTGAGGGTGAATTATTAACAATCTATATCACAAGAAAGTCGTTTCTCGACGTTGTAATCGCTTTTTCAACTGTATAGCGGGGATTATTTCTGGCCCCAACGTCAAATTCAACTCACATTTTCTTCTCGGAGATAGGTAGTTTGTATTAACGTGGGCTCGTGCGAAAAACGACTTTCTTACCGATGGAAAACCAACATGACAACGCAACAAAAAAAAAAAAAAACACAGCATTATTCTCAGAAAGCGTGTGCGTCAATTGAATTTCTCTTTGCAGCATTAGCGACGAGCCAAAAATAGAAATTTGAAAAAAAGCAACCTGAAAAAAAAAAAAACGAAAACCTGTGTTTTTTGTGTATTCTCTATTTTTCTATTTCTTGGTGGTATTTTTTATCTGTGTCATACAGAACGCGATCCGCACCAATCTCTCGTTGCACAAGTGTTTTGTGCGCTATGAGGACGACTTCGGGTCATTCTGGATGGTGGACGACGCCGAGTTCGTAAAGCGGCGGCATCTGTCGCGTGGCCGCCCCAGGAAATATGACCCAACCCCATCACCCACTCCACCCCACCTCTCCGCACAGTAAGCACTACCACTATTTTAGCAAAAAAAAGACAAAAAAAAACAAAAACAACTGTCTTCTCTGCGCTGCTGGCTAACAAAAAGAAAAAAAAAAGAAAATATAAATTACTGTTGGATTTATTTTATCAAATGAGAATACAGTCCGATGACGATGTTTTCCCATTAAAAAAAATAGAGATCTTGATTTGAGAGAAACGAATACGACGTGTACCCGACGTAGTCCGTCTTGCTGTCTTTGTCTGCCTTGCTTTCACTGTCTATCTCTCGCTCTCTCGCTCTCACACTCTTTCTCTCTCTGTTTCTGCATTTTATCTATTTATTGTTTTGTTATTCCGTATCCTCGGGTTATTTTTTTTATTCTTTCATTAAGATTTCTATCAATAGGTTTTTATATTTTGAAAGTTCACATTTCAATTTTTTGATAATTTTGAAGCATATTTTTTCACAAAATAATCAATGACATTGGATTAGTTTCTTCGATATTTTATGTTATTGATAGCAATCATTTACTGTAATTTAGCTTGAAAAAGAATTTTGTTATCCATGTGTACTTCTTTTTATTTACATCGTTATACTCGTAATAAAAAATTCCGTTTCATACGTCCTTAATTTTTTGTTTTACATGCCGCAACAATTCTCCTCCTTCCAATATTTTTCAGTTTCTCTGTTTTCTTTCGTTTTACTGTGCTCCTCCGTCCCTGTTTCGACGTTCCTCAGTGTTTTTAAGTTTTTTATCGGAGAGGCTTGAGACAACTCACTTGGACACCTTTCGTCTAGAAAAAACAAGGTGAAAAAGTGCTTCTCATGTATAAATAGGATAAGTAATATATTGCAATATAAGCCTATATAATCTATTGAATATTTTCTCTATAAGTTGTCGATTAGAAAATGAACAATGTACCGTGCCAATTGACTTGTCAATGACTCTCCAACCAAGCTAATCAAAGTAGAGCTGCAAATAAACTCCCGAGACTCCCTTAGATCATAGTATCGCCAAAGCGCCCAAAATAACAACAACAAAAAATTGAATAATCGAGCGTGTCTACCTCTAGGCATTATCACTTGCCTGCGCATTTGCTTGACCCTAATTTGTATAACGAGAATCGTAGGCTTCGCTCGAATGGCAATTAGGATTTCGAAAGCCCATATGTTGATCGGGCACCACAGAAAAACCGCTTGCGTTAGTCTTTTTAATCTTGTTAGTCGCTTGCATGTTTACTCTATCAATGGACAAACTAAACTTTCATCGTTTCATCCCGTTCTTTCGGTCCTTTCGTAGTGATTTCGCTTTTTCGCATGCAACTGCTGCTTTTGTGAGTACAAGTGTGTGAGTCACAAGTTTTTGTTGACCTTGCCAGTGAATTTTGAAAGACAACAAACAGTTTTTTTTCAATCATTTAGTTGTCTGACCTTGACTCATGAGAAAATCGCATTTTCATTTTAACGAAGTTTGTTTTCTTGAAATTCAATGAGCTTTGACAAGCAAGTTTTGCAATATCTTTTATTTTTATTAAAATTGTTCAATTTAGACAGATTTTTCAAAATTACATCAACATGAGCGAATGTGGGAGAGCGAGTGAATGCTTTGCAATATCGCGGCTGTCGCATGTCGGGTATTATCAGCTTATCACGCGTGTGTGTAAATGTTGTGGTCGAAAAGTCCTTCGACAGATAGAGAGAGAGAGGTGCAACATGAAATCGATGTCTCCAACTTTTTCATCGTTCGAGGTATCACACCAGGTCATATATTTTCTCACTATTACTGTGTACAAGTTTTACAATTAATTCTATCGTTAATATTTTAAATGTTTTTTCACTTTTATCAATTTCATATATATGAAATATATTTTATATATTTATATATCAATTTTATATATATATATATATATATATATATATATATATATATATATATATATATATATATATAAGTAGTTAGACATTTTTCAACTTATATTCAACTGTTTTAATCTTCTATATTTACTATATTTTCACACTCATCTCTTCTACTTTCCCTTTCCATTTACTCCGAATGTCAGTTTCATAAACGGTCACTGGGAAGAAACTTTATTCCTTGCTTGCCAATTCATTTAGTGACACGTCTTACAAGCAAACATTTTTTCATAAGTAAATTTTCAAAAACATGTCTATGACTTTGTTTGCGAGAAAAAAAAGCGTCACACATACGTATCATCATTTGTTTTTCTCACGATGATGATATGCATTGAAAGCTCGGTCACTTTTTACACCAATGGATCAATTCATCAACTGAAAGGTAATCCAAGACCGTTTATAAACGACACATTTGCTTCGAGTTTATTTATAATTAATTAAATAACGAATGCGAAATACATTTATGCAAACTTGAAGCATCGGAGTATTAAAATCTTTTAAACTTTTTTCAAATATTTCTTCGCTCGATACGCTGCTGACCATGACATTTCTAAGGCACATAACCGATGCAATAGGTAAAGAGTTTTCAGGGGATTGTCAAGAACATTTTTTACAATTTTATAACTCTCTTGGTGTTGTCAATTTTTCACATTTTTTCTTCTACTAGTTCACTTTCTCTTTTTCTTATTATCACTTATATTTCATATTTCTATCAACTATCACTCTACTTCTCATACTCTCTTTTTAATCTCTTTCTCTGTCTCTTTCTATTTTTTAAATATATCTCTTTATATTCATTATTATGTATATTACTAACGTAGAATAGCGTTAAAACACGTCGCTTTTCAATATACGTTTTATAAATACTCTTCTTTAAACCCCCTTTTTAAAACTCTATTACATGTACTTTTTAAATATTCATATCTACTTCTAAGATTTCTTATTCACACGATAAAACGACACATTTCTATAATGAGCACACATCATGTTCACATGTGAACACACACTGTTTTCCATAAATATTATAGATTTATATACATATATAAAAGTGGAATCGACAGAATATGAAAGTTTACTTATAAGCGACTTTTTGTCTGTTTTCTTTTTCTGGTAATCCAGGGGTGTACCTTCCAAAAGTCCGACGCTCACACACAGTCCTACAATGTATGGTGATGCTCTTAACGCGAACCTCCAGGTACCAACTGTTTTTTTATTATTATTTTTATTATTTTTTTAAATTTTTATTATTATTTTTATTACAGTGTAGAAAATAGTGTAATTGAACAATAGGTAATTATTTGTTTGCTATTGAAGTATTTTCAGGCAGCTCTCGGTGAGACGAATATGGGATTTCTCAATAACTCTATGTGCACGTCGACAGCAACAAGTCCCGATAAAGAACATAATTTAACCCATAATGATTTGATGTAAGTATAAGATAGATATTGATAGACTTTATTTTCAAAAGCATGAAAACACAAATGATCTCTGCACACTGTATGGAATACCTAAAATCGCTATAAAAATTTGAATTGTAAAAAATGTTTAATCATCTACTTGTTATCATTATTCAAATGAATTAGTTTCTAAATTCATGCGTTATCAAATTATCCTCGAAAGGTCGCCGCTAGACGACTCGCCAATGCATCTGAAGCAAGAGGGTCAAAGTCCCGAGGGTGGCAAATTATCAAGGCTAATAAAGCGAGAAATGATGGAAGCACCAGGTGAACGCGACGACAACAATAGCGGCACCGAACACGAGGACAATTGCGCGATCGACGAGCGCGACTATGTTGACGATCATCCGCCAAGCCATCATATTCAACATCATCATCACCATCGGCCTGAATCACAAGCTGACGAAGATATGGCCGAAGATTTGTCGATGGCACCCGACATATTACCATCTGAAGATGCGTAGTCGCGCTTCGCTTTCATACAGATGACGGAACGATTGAAGATGCTCGTTCGAGCTGCACGGGTATGCTTTTTTCTCAAAATATTTTTCAATTACATAAAAGGTGTTGTCAAAATAATTTCGAAGAGCATTCCATTTAATATTCAATTACATGTCGACGACGAAACCATCAGGAGAATCTCATTAAGTATTTAGTTATTATTAGTCGACCCTGTCATCTGAATAAACTGGCGCACAAAAATTTTAAATTTTCATAACTAACACGTCACTTACGTGAATTAGATATTCAAGATATTGCAATCAATATTCGGAGCATGCGGTGATACAATTGAGATAAGCTTGAGTTACAGAAATAAAATTTGTGCAATTTTCTATTCCGGAATTTAAATTCTTATTCTCAATTTTACGAAATACAATTTTTTTCCAACAATATTTATTCTTCTTATTGCAGTAATGCTCATCAGCATCGAAAAAAATAGCACCAGCATTCCCCTGGTCGCAACAATCAGTATATCGTCTAAGGCTTGTTCAATAAAGAATTCATCACAGCGAAGAATGAGGCCAAATCGTGTGAAAATGGCCTTGGAAGAAGCGACTAAAAAGAAAAGGAGGAAAGAAAGCAAATAAAAAAATAAGAGATAAAATTCCAAGCTTCATTTGGGATTGCCATATCGCCGGCCAGGGGTAATAAACGGCGCACCGATCCATATCCTTAACCAAGCAATTAAGCGAAACAACGATGTATATTCGACAATTTAGGGGAGCCTCGTTCTCGTGTACATTGAGTGAGTGCGTTGAGTGCGTGAAAGCGCGCGAAGCTTTTACTAGATTTTTTTATCTTCCTTTTGCCTTCTATTTCTCTTCGCGCGCGTCGCGTGAGTGTTTAATGTGTGTTATAAGCATACAAATTGTAGATAAGTGTTTCGGTAGGGTATGCAAGACGAGTTTATCCAAAGAACGTTGTAGTAACAAAGCGTTTAAAAAAAATAAATAGAAGCGGGGCGCGCGATCGCGAGCGTGTTTGACTGAATCGACCATTTTAATATAAACATTGGCTAGATATTGATAATTTTTGTAGTTTTTTATGAATATAAACGAAGAGAAAAGAAGAAGAAATAAAATTTTTTAAGAATTCGGATATTAATAAAAAAAAAAAAAAAAAAAAAAATTCGGAACGAGCTTGACGGGATCAAAATTGTCGAAATTGATAATCAAAATGAACTTTTATACGAGAGAATTTTTGCGTGAGAAATATGATGACGTTGAAATAAGTCGATGTTATTTTGGTAGGAAAGATATTTTATATAGTTATTTGTTGTCAGATGAGTTACGTTACGTGTCGTGAATTACTTTTTAAATCGTCAAATTTTATACAATATTGTCAAGTAGTCATTAATTTTGTTTGCATCAAATTTACGTATTTTAATACATATGCATTAATTGTTTAGTGAATTATTTATAAAAAAAATGTAGTGTCTCATTACTGTGATTATTTCACACGACTTAGAAAGAGTTTTCATGAATAACTTCGGCTTTTTTCAACGGCCCTTATTTAACTTATTGCGGCTAAAATTAACAAAATCTATTTTATAATACCTCGATTGGGTTGATCGTGGCATTTTTAGAATTACTAGGTTAAACCAAAGCATTTTTTTTAAAAGGAGAATCTTGATTTAAGCTTCTAACGATCTCTAACGTATATTAATGCATTTTTGATAAAATACACAAAGACTAATAAAAAATAACCTCGGCAACCGAGGAATTCTAAAGTTCAATCAAAATTGCGTTCTTTTCAAACGCGCGCGTGCGCCTTTTTTTTCGTAGTTTATTATTAAATAAACAAAAAAAAACAACCGCGTAGTTTTCGTAGTCGTTCGTACGAAGTACGTATGAGAATCCGCGTTGCGTGCGAAATTGCACTTTTCCGCGCGATATAATGGAAAAACATGAAAGAAAGCAAAAAAAAAAAAAAAGAGAGAGAAGCGATGCCAGGGCGCGACTATTTAACTTTGGAATTTTCAAATGAATGGTAAATAAACTTATAAACGAGTAAACCTAAAGAAAAAAAATCACTACGTATGCACCCCCTACATAAATACACATATATACGTATACGTATAGGCATATAAGAAAAATTTAGCAGTCAAGGACAAAAAGATAAAGAAGAAAAAAATCGTAATGGAAAAAAACTTCAATGTCCTCACCCCTTCCCACTTTACAACCCTCGTCTGGCTTCGAAGAAACTCTATTTAAGTATACGCTTGCAAGAAAATAAAAACGAAGAGTTTTGGCCGATGAATTATACTTCCCCTATTATGGGCAAAGATATAAAGAAATCATCATCAGGCTAAATTTTTGCGTAGTATTAAATTAATTAGCGAGAGCAAGCGCAACATGGCAAAAATCAAATTTCTGCCAAAATAAAATGTGTGAGAAAAGTGTGGACGATTGTTTGCGAAAATTTAAATCAAAAAGAAATTTTTGTAAGCGATACGAATACTTCTCTCGATTATATTATATAAATATACATACGCGTGCGAAGCTACACACACTCACACACACACGCGCACACACCCGCGCACACGCACACACATACACATACGGTACATCAAATGTACGGAATATCGTAGTCGAAGTCGCAAGAATATTATAAAAGAAAATAAATAGTAAAAAAAACACATTCCACAAATGTATGATAATTTTCTGTCGTCGCGGACGATCTGTTACGGAAAGGTACGATAATATGTGTCAACGCGCAATGTAATTTATTAATTTTTTCTTTTCGTTCGTTTGTTATTTATGATGATAAGGCATTGCTAAAAAGTACGAAGAATGGAGAATGAAGTATTTTTTCACGGTCACTTGTATAACATCTAGTTTTCAAATCCATAAACCAATACCTGCCCATTTTTATATAACAAGGAAATATATAATTCGAGACGTTTATTTTTTAATCTTAGGGGTCTTGATCCGCGTGCTGGACAAATCTGTACATTACTTTTCTCTCTCTCTCTCTTTCTGTCTGTCTGTCTCTGTCTGTCTCTCTCTCTCTCTCTCTCTCTATATATCTTTCTCTTTTTCCATATTAGTTCTTTTTCCTTTATTTTTATCGATGTTGAGAAAAAAATTTATTGTTGTTATACTGTTATTACGACGTAGAGTAGTTTTTTGCCACATACGTGCGTTTGTATATATAAATGATTTTTATCAGCCTTACGTGTATAATTCGAACTTGATTGAAGGATAAAAACAATTGTATATAGATATTCGTTCTGTACCTAATACTTGCTTGCGTTATATAATTTAAATGAATGAAAAAAGAAGGCGCGAACAATAACGGATCAAGATCCTTGATTATTGATTTTGCGAAAAGGATCTGTCGATGTCATGCTTCGACTACGCAAAGTGTGATACTTGTATACTCTACAATCTCTTACTCTGTGTATATCAATCGGTCGAAGTACGAAAATACAAAGAAATGGTTTTTATGATATATATTTACGCTTCTAGCTCATACTGACGAATTGCTGTTTTCGTGCTTTGACTTTTATCTCACCCGCAAGATTTTAACAAAATGATAATAGATTTCATCCGTTCACAATGTTCTTGATAGATGTTGATGCAACATTTGTCTTTTTTCTTTTTTACGAATAACTGTCTATATTTTTTAATTCATAGTGTGGTCAACTTAGCTACTGTCCAAAAGTAAACGTAACTTATCCTAGTAAATGTATCCTATAAACCCTTGATCTACAATACATATTTTTGTAATTAAATATCGTCGATACATATGTTGCATTAGCATTCATCATCACATTTTTAACTGTGCTAACTATCGAAGCGACAATGCACAATTCGCATAGGATCAAAGAAGTTAATAAGGTGAAAGAGAAAGAAACAAAAATGTTGAGAAAAAAAGAAACTATGTTATATCGACAGTTTACGTTGTTACAAGGTGACGATTAAGTGCCATTTTTGGCTCTATTTCACGTGTATCGCATTGCTCCTATCTTTAAGTCTATGTATTGTGTAAAATGAATAATAAGGATTCGACACATAGAAGACTTTTCTGTAAATAGTTAATTGACGAGGCATTAGGTATTCACCTAAATATACGATTTACGAATGATGTCAAGTTGTCATTTTCTTTTCTTTACCTTCCATATTTTGTTTCATAGAATAAATGCCTATTCTTGGAATTATTAAATTATGATTTTTTAAAGATATTTTTATGAAATGATAATACTATTTGGTTATTATTAAAGAGCTAATAATATTATTTGACTAACTTTGACATTGTAAATTACAAAACTTATGCTTAAATTCTTACACAAGTAACGTTGATCTAGTCATCATCTAAAAATTGAGGTTAAAATTACACAAATGTGACATTGAGCATAATTACTGGATTATAATAGTCACTTATATCAATATTAATTTCAATATTTTACAAACTTAAACACAAGTATAAATTTATGTTGCGGTCTTCGTTCTCCTGGGTCAGTATTGTCTAAAATTTCCTCGTCGTACAACTGGCTGTACACGGTTCGGTGGAGTAATTGAAATATCTAAGTAATCTCCTATAGTGAACCTATACAACAATAACATGAATTATTTTATTCACAATTTGATGATTATTTATATTACAATAAATACTAACCTTGCCTGAGCCAAAGTTTTATTATCATCAGCACCTTTTTGACCAGAACAAGTCACACCTATTTCGCGCATTCTATATCCTGCAGATCTTACTTCTGGTGTAACCAAAGAAAATTCGAAATATGTTCCTTTATTTCTAGCATCTGGATTAACTTCTTTTACTAGGGCAGTGATTTCACGTAAGGTAGCATCCATCCTAAATCACAAACATTATATTATTGATTACACCAGCAATTTTGTACAAATATTTCTATTAAAGATTTGTTTGTAACATTCTTGAAAAGACAAAAAATATATATATTTCAAATTTGATACAGAGGTTCTTAGATAAATATAATTAATCCCAGTTTGGAAAATTAATAATTACCAAGTATAAATTTGGAGCTCGTTTGAAGGAACGTTTCCTCTAGTATATTCTGAAATGTTATGATGCCGTCCAGTATTACAAAATACCCTTAAAAGTAAAGGGCAAGTCTGAAAATTGAAACAAATCAGTTAACCGACAAGAAATTAATGAAAAACAGTTATTTCGTGTGCGCCGATACCGACACGTGTAGGTTAGAAAAATTTCACCTAAATTTCAAAAGAAACTTACTTTTTCTCTATCAACGGGTTTATCAGGAATTTGTTTATCATCCACAACCATTGATTCCACAGCTGATGCCATAGTTTGTATCTAATTAACTACTAGAAAGTTGAAAAAAATAAGAAGTTTACATCAACTCTACTACAGTGTTATATGCAAGAGAAGTAAAGTACCTACACGAACTTAACCTTTCAACCATATATATTATACAAACGCGTCCTGAACGTGCATCGCGTCGTGCTGGTCGAGCATCGGCTCATATTAAATATGGTTGAAAATTAATGACGTCACGTTTTCAAATATTTCAATTTATGGTAGTCGATCAAAATGCTGAATGAGCTTTCTAATCAATAACAAATTTTATTATTGAAATTATTCGTTGTACTGAAATTGAAAATAATTTTATTTTGAAATGATAATATTTCTTAAGCAACTTATCTCTCCATAACAAGCATATTAAAAATTTAAATGCAACTTGAATAACTAACTCGTTTAAATCAACCACTGTATATATCTGTTATACACAGCATACATCAATATTTTCAAGTAATCTTGTATACATGTATATATTTGCTTTCGCCTCAAACACGCGATAAGACCGCCAATATCTATATACGAATGCAATCATCTGTGACTGCCTCGAAAGTTGAGTCGTCAACAAGCTAAACGGCTGATGGCGGAAGAGTGCAGTGCGTGGTCTGCTGGCGTTATTGCAGGATCTTTACATAATAAAAACGAAGTTCTCTCTTTTTAATAATAATTCTGATTACAAGATCAACATCAAACAAATTCTTAATCACGTGTGCGCTAAGAAAACTTGCCAAAGCATACGTGAAGAGAGAGATCGGATAAAAGATACTTTTAGTGTGGATCTTGAGCAAAGTGAGTGTTGTGCAAACGTGTTTTGTTTAATCACGGCAAGATTGTCGTAATCTCATTTTTTTTAACAAATATTAAGAGTTCCGGTTGGTCAGACATCAGACACACTCAATGAGATATTTTAAGACTGGATGTAATATCATTTAGAAGTAGACTTTTTACATATTTGAATTAAAAGTTGTGGCATGACTGTGAATCTGATTGATGTGCATACAGAAAACTGATAATTATAAAGTATGATGTCACTTCTTCCGCATATCTACAAAACATTCATATTATCATAAGTTTATTAATAGGTTACTTGAGCTGCATGCTAGATAAAATAATTTGGTATAGATTTTTAATTTTTAATTCCCAGTGTATGATTTATGAGATTGCGGGTTAATCTCTTGGGAAGAGCAAGTTGATTATATACTGAGTTATCTTATGGCTGATGGAGAAAGCAAAAGAATCAATTACATTGTTGTTTCAGGTTATGAGAAGCACTAAGCATTTTTCTCTATCATAGCCAGCCAATTAAAATGGTTAGCAAATTGCCACAGGAGTTCAGAAGATACAATAGAAATCGAAACCAGTTGAGGCACATATTTAAGGAAACTCAGAGGGTTCTCGAGATTATTAATCTTGAGAATTTCTTTCCAGGAGGTATGTCATTCAATGAAAATTGGGATTAAGAAATTATTATTTTATCTGCAATGCAAAGATTAATTACTACTGACTTAATGGTTCACTGGAATATTTCAATGAGGGGAAAACTCTGGAAGAGACATGGGTCTTGATCAAGCATGCTTGCCTTAAAACTATTATTAGTCGTTGATAATGATTATATACGAGCTGTGATAAATTTTTTACAATATAAAGTTTTTTATTCTCCAAGGGTGATTGCAAAGAAAATTTATCCATAAACTGCATTGAAATACCTTACTAAACACTATTGCTTGTTTATTTCATAGTTAAAATCTTTTTTATTTTTTACAGAAAATATAATTGAGGAATTGCTACCAACACTGACCTTAAATAAAATTACACATGTTCTGGGAAATTGTCCTGCCATAGTTGTCTTTGGCCAAAATAGTCAAGCGAAAGCCTCATTAGTTAATCAACTACTCTTAACAGAAATTTTGCCAGAATGTCTTGGTCAATGGAGGTGGGTTAAAATTGGTTGTGGACCTACGAATCATGTAAATCTTACACTAGGATTAGAGTATGAAGTTGTAGAAAATTTAAAAGCAAATGAGACACCATGGACTACTATTCCTGCTGAAGATTTGATGGAATCTGAGAGTATAGATCCCAACTGCCCCACAGTACTCGAAGTAAAATTAAATCGGCCTACTTTAAAGGACGGTGTACAAATATTTATTGTACCAGATTCAGGTATATAATATTTAACATATTTTTCAAAAATGTATATGTTTAAAATATATATTGTTAAATAATTGAACAATATTCATAGGTGGTGTACAAATACTAGCCAAAGATGTGTTCAAAATACTGCCAATCTTTCTCTATGCACTGGGCGAACAACCACTGTCAAATGAGAATGTAGAGGAGCTGAGAAACCTAAAAGAAACGTATCCTTACAATCCAGTGTTGTTTGTTTCAGCACTGACTCACATCACACTTGACAGTCTCGACGGGGATCTTAGTTTGACGAATCGGCTTAGGTCGGAAAGTAAAAATGAATCAACCGAATCGAGTGGTACAAGAGAATATTCGATTTCTTTAACATCGACATCGACTCACGATGATTCAATAAAGTCAAATTCTATTAAAATAGATTTGTCAAAGGAACTCGATAAAGATTGCAATTATGATAAAGTTAACTCTCTCGGTATTACTTGGCTTAATCAACTTACTGACTTGGGTTTTCTTAGTGAATCTACCGAATCAGATAACAATTCTTGGGCATCGAATGGCCGCCCTAATAATTCGAGTGATATTTTAGATTCTTGCAAAAAATTAGGTAAGAAATTTTGCAAGTGTTTCAAATATTCAAACGAGAAGTCAAAACATTAGTTGCATCATTTATTTTACTTTCATTTACTTGACTTATCTTTAGATTCTTACATTTTTTTTTAAATAATTTTCTAATATGCACCGTCACGTCTTTGAAACTTGAGATTATCAGTCTAACTTTTTTTCTGAAGCTAGAGATATTCTTTTATCTTTAAATACGCAAAATTGTCGCAATAATACTACTTTTACAATCATTTTTTTGATAAATTTTGTGAAACCTTTATTACTTTTGCATAACTGTTCTTGGTAAAATTCTATGTCCAGATCTAATGCTGTACTTTGTGCGAAGCTGCCTTCAAACCTACCTCGTAAACGTGAGCAACGAACTGAATGATGTACATACAACAAGTCTTCGCAAGTTCATCCTAAGCGCTTTTGACATGGCCCGTGAGATTCAGATAACACCTAAACGAATTCAATATGCTCAACAAAAAGAATCTGAACTCTACTCAAGCCTTATGAAAGTTGTAAATGCAAAGCAAGAAGAATTAACAGAACTCATACAATATACCATACAAGAGATGAAAGACGAAGTCAATGTACAAACCGAAAGTACAACCCTTTATCAAAATGTGCCATGTGTTGAAGGTGAATGGTCGGCTACTGTTAGAGCAGCTACGACTGAAGTACAAAGAATTGTACTTACGAGACTTGGCGAACGAGTTGCTAAACAGTTAGTTAATTCAGTTAATTGCTTGAGAGATACTTTCTTGGGGACATTGCAGAGATGCTTACTTAGTTTGGAGAAGAGTTACGAAGGGGAGACTAATCTTACAGGTAACTTTCTAAAATATTTTTAGTTTCAACATTTAATTTTAAAATATTTTTCAGCAAGCGACGCTCTGAAACAAATTCTTTCCGCTGCCTATAACGTTGAGCTGCATAACTCGTCACCGTCTCTCGTTCACTCCTTTCTAGAACGACTTCGACAATTATTTAAATCAGTACCAATGCCTTGGGCACCAACACCGATTCTAAATACGTCTTGGAGGCGAAAAGTCATCATCGACATACTGAATTCTTTAAGTGCTGCTCGACTGGCTCGAGCTATTTCAACTCAGTTTAGGGATAAAGTCAAGGCTTCGCATGACACTTTCCAGTCTGCGCTTAGGTCATTGGAGAATCATTATTCCGGCAAATTGGAGAGAACCGAAGAGCAAAGAATTGCTATTAGGAAATATCATGCGCCGAGACTAGCTAAACTGGCACTCGAGTCTACTTCTATGAGCGACTTGGTGAGTTTTTTTCTCAGTCAAAAAAACTCTTAATTTTATTTGTGAGAAAAATTCAATTAAAAGTAACAATGTTTACGACGAGCATTAAAGATCTAAGAAAATATGATTATTATCTGTGAATATTTTTCTTTTTCCATTAAAATTTTCAATTCAACGGAAGTTCTATTTCAGTGTATATTCCGTAGTTACTAATTCATTACAAAACTAATGACGTACTTCCATTCCGAGATTTATTGAAGCCCATGTTCGTACCGCATGCTCTTATTATTCAAACCCTTCTACAGTTACTAAAAAAGTTATCTCTTATTAAGAACGAAATTAAAAAATATGCTATCCATTATTTTCTCGAAAAAAAAACTTCATTTTTCGCGCAAACAAATAAAAATAGTTACACCAATACCTACGAAAATTGATAATGTATTCTTTCCATATGATACGTAGTTTTTTTCCTTTTTACAATATCTGTTGAAATCACACATTCCGTTGCGTCCTACATATGTTATCTTATTGAACTTCAATTCATAAAATCCTTATCGTAATAGAGCATCTGGTGAAAGCTTCTACTCGTATTTTTCTAGAACACATCTTGAATTGTTCTTATCAGCAGTTGACAAGGCTACATCTATAAGATAATAGCAGGCAACTTTTATTGTTGTTGTATACATAATGACTCAGAGCGTGTATCAATGGGTAGAAGAAGAGAATATGAATTCATTGAACCGAAGTTTTGTTTTGCTGCAACGTGAATTATTAAAATGAATCGTGAATTATTAAAATGAATCGTAAAATAAATCGTGTAAAAAAAATCACACGACCTCTAACCATAGAGCTCGTGTATATATGCTTTTTTCTGGCAAAATTTAAAATTAGCATACACGATAACTTAAAAATTTGTCACTCTGGTATATATTTATAACTGATCCTTAATTTACATTTTAAAAAAGAGGCGACTCGAGAAATAATCAAAGTTAACATTATAAAATGCTTTATCTTGCACATTTATTGAAATTTACCTGCTTTCTTTTAAATCCAAAGTTGCTTAAGTTCGTATTTTACATTTAAAATTCACGACTTATCATTTTGTGTAAGCTTATTTACTTGCCCACTAATTAAAGATTTTTCAACTAAAACTGCAGTATTGGAGAATTTATATTATATCTTAATAATAACCCAAAAATTGAAGACAAGGAAAAAATTGCGTTATTGGATTAATTTAACGAGACTTTAGGTTTTATTAAATAATGATGAACGATACTTCTTAACAGTGGTCATTGAAATAATTACTCACTCTGAGCCAACGAGATTGTTATAATTAATATTATTCTCATTGATTATATTTTTATCTTATATAAAATAATATAAAGTAATTGTAATCATCTGTTGAGGAGGAAGACATTGAAAATTCTGTCATTGACTTATTCGTGCTACCAAAATTATTATTACAAATTAATATATCAAGGCAGAAGTGAAATATCCGATAACAGTTAATTACAGTTAATTGGAGCAATAAGAAATAGAGATGACTTCCTGCTTATTTTCAGACTTGATTATCTCTGATGAGAAATGCGTTAAAATAGTAGTGCCATCTTAAAAAATATTGATTTTTTTGGAAAATAAATCTGGCAATAATGAAAAACAAAAAAATTGAAATAATTATCAACTAATTTCTATTTTCAGATTCGTTTTGGGATTCCACACCAAGGTAAAGAAATCGGTCGAGGTCAGTACGGCGTAGTATTCGCATGTGACGGTTGGGGTGGTGCGCCAGGACCATGTGCAGTAAAATCTGTAGTTCCACCAGACGAGAAGCACTGGAACGATTTAGCAATGGAGTTCTATTACACAAGATCAATACCTGATCACAAACGCATCGTGAAACTTCGAGGTTCGGTGATCGATCACGCATACGGTGGTGGTTACGGTATGGGTGCAGCGGTGTTACTCATCACCGATAGAATGAGTAGAGATCTTTATTGCGGCATCAGGTCAGGATTGACCTGGCTCGAGAGGATACAGATTGCCATTGATGTACTTGAAGGTATTAGGTACCTGCATTCACAGGTGGGATAATATTAATCATGGAAAACGGACAATTCTCGAGTTTAATTTATTAATCAGTGGAAAAATTACAGGGTCTAGTGCATAGAGATATCAAGTTGAAGAATGTGTTGCTTGACAAAGAGAATCGAGCCAAACTAACGGATCTTGGCTTTTGCATAACCGAGGCAATGATGTCGGGAAGCATCGTTGGTACCCCAGTTCACATGGCACCTGAACTTCTCTCGGGACACTATGACAGTAGCGTTGACGTTTATGCTTTTGGTATCTTGTTCTGGTATATTTGTGCTGGTCATGTCCGGCTGCCTTATGCGTTCGAACAGTTTCACAATAAGGAACAGCTGTGGACGAGCGTAAGAAAAGGTTGGTATTTTTAAGTAAAAGGCTGTAAGGATATTCGCTAATTGCAGTTAAATAAATTTTTTAGGTATCAGACCAGAACGTCTAATAATCTTCGACGAAGAATGTTGGAATCTAATGGAACAATGTTGGGCTGGTGAACCGTCACGTCGACCACTTCTAGGTGCGATTCTACCGGTTTTGGAATCAATCCGTGCTAAAGCCGAATCAAATCGTAAGGACGTTGCTTCACTTGTCCTTGCTAATGGCAATTGTGGTAGCAACAGTAATGGTAGCAATAACAACAACAACAACAACAACAACAACAACAACAACAACGAGGCAATGGATTTGAAAAAGCCGATTAATCAGAGGGGTGAAGTAGCCAGTCCACTGTTCCGCCGACGCAAGAAGTCCTCGGTGTTCTTTCGCACGCCCAAGCACCCTGGTCTTCCCATGACTAACTTCTTTCACATGAGTGCCTGTTCAAATTTGTACATACAGATGCACGAATTCTGACTTGTTTTTTTTTTTTTTTTTATCGAGACGTTGGCTTAGATTTACACGAGGATTTTTATTTGCTGTCGTACATTTATTTTGTTTATTTAATTTGAGAGTGGAATTCAATATTTTTCATAGTTCACTCTTAAGTTTTTGTAAGACTGATTTAGTTTGAACTTTGAAAATAATTTTTTTGTAATGAATGAAGTGATAATAGAAAATATTTGTCAAGTTCCTTTCGAATCCCAAAAAATTATTCGTCAAGTTAAAACTAAATTTGCAAGAGGTTATTGACGTAATTTTCGAGTTTTATTTTAGGACAATTATTGTACATAACGATCCTCCTGCTTTTTTAATCCGATTTCTCGTTCGTTTATTTGTATGTAAACAGTTGCTTGTTATTACATTCATTGGGTAGGGATAATTTTTGTTTACCGAATCAAATTATTTTCTGTATGAATCTTTTTCCTATACTTAAGGGACCCTTTATTCTTCCATAGATGTATAAATGAATGTAAATTAATAGGTCGACTTTGCTCCATGGTTTAATTGCGTATAGTGCTTGCAACCCAAAGAAAAATATATGTCGATAATTTTTACTCATCAAAGTACTGTGAATCAATTTTGGATCGTTCGGTCCATTAGTTTCTTTACAAATAAATGTTTAAGAATGTTGTTTCAAAAATAATGTTTTTTAGATATAGAGATTTGTTTACGTGATTTGATAAATGAAAAATGACAACTTAGTATTATTTTTCAAAAATCATTTTCAAAAATTTATTTTTAAAGAAACTAATAGATCGGATGATCTAAAATTGATTCATAGTACTTTGGTCGGTAAAAACTATCGGCCTATATTTTTCTTTTCGGATTGTGAGCATTACTCGCGGTCAAATCTTGGAGCAAAGTCGGCTCATTAATTTACATTGGTTTGTACATCTATGGAAAGGTAGGGAGGCCTTCACTACCACAATGTGCGTGCTATTATTGCTTATGTATGCACATACATTTCATTTTAATTTCTTATGTACAAAATATCAACTGTTTTTTTTCCATTTTTTTGCTATAAGTATTGCAAAGCCATCAGTATTAGTTGCAAAATAGCATATATTTCACACAAATTTGTTTGCAAGTACAAATTTATTTCTGTTTAATAGTATACTAACTCGACGCTTTAAACTATTTTTTCAGTGGTATTGCTCTGATCTTGGCATTACTAAAATATCGATGGCAAATAATATTATCGCATATTAAGTTATCTATTATCGAGTTACATATTATTTTCGATAATATGTTTTACACTCTAGAACTATATTTGTTATTATGAACGTAGAATTAAAAAAAAGTAGTATGGTTTTATCACGTAAAACCGTTTTTATTATATCCAACATTGCATTGCTGTCAAAGAGAAAAGCTTATCGATATTTTTTGGCAATTATATACCTGTCCGAAATGATATATATTAAATACTAATGGACGATTACGACAGCGAGCGTTTATACTAAGATTTTGATTTTTTTTGTATTCTTAAAATAATGTGTTAAAAATAAAATGTTCGTCCATTGTATTCTTTTTTATGCTTTGCATGCTAAATGAAAACTAATAATTTTGTGGAAAAATAGAACCTTAAAAAACATTTACTAAAGAATTAGAAGATCGTGTACATACAATGATCTTTCGGATACATGTTTAGAACAATAATGTGAGAAATTTGATGAATTATTATGAGTAAGTAAACTAAATGTTTCTAAATGTTCCTAGCATTAATTGCACGCTTTTTTGCTTAAATATATTTAAATAAAAATATCTACGAAGAGAATACAAAATAATTATATTCATCTCAATTGATCATAAAGTTTACATAAATATAATATTTAATTATACAATGTTGTTTTATATTCTCTGGATGTAAATTTAAAATATGTACAATACTTATAGCAAATTAATTATATCGAAAAATTATAATAATTTTGAATAATTTTGTATTACAGGCTACCGAAAGTTATCACCAAGGAAAAATAATGGTCGTTATGAAGATGTATAAAGAAAAATGTCCATTTTGAAAAAATCAATAACGAGATGTCTCAAAGTCAACTAGTCTTTCTAAGAATCAAGTCGCTAATGTACCATTTTATAGAACTTCAATCAAATTTTAAATTGCACTTTCATACTCTTAATATTCAAATAATAGTGTTGTCTTAAATTAATAGCAATTCAGTCCATTCTTCGTCATTCTTCTTATTCTTTTTTTTATTCTTTGTGAATGCTAATAATTGAAACTACAATGATTTTAAAATCATTGTAAAAAAATAAGCATTATTATTCATGCCTGTGATAGCTCGAGTAGAGCCAGATAAGCCAATTTATTGATAATAATTATTAAATATTAGAGGACTGATTAGAGTAGATAAGTGAAATAATACTAAAGTATCTATTTTTTATATAATTTATTATGCCTTTTAAAGGTCATTTAATTGATAATATAGATTATATAGTAAACATTTTATACTATGTAAAAACTTAATGAGTGTATAATAACAATTTCATATTTTTATTATTTAAGCTAAGATATCTAAACTACTTTTTACCATTTCTAAATCATGTAACAGTTTATAAAATTGGTGTACATTCATCTCTGTAAATATAGACTTCTTTCTCCCATCTTCGTCATAAACAAGTTTGAGTTGCAGAGAATTTTTCCCAACTTCATTTGATCCACTACTTGCAACTGTCACTGAAATTAAAACAGATATTTTTTGTTAATTGTATGCATTTAGTATTTTCATTCATTAGTTGTAAACATTAATATTATTTTCTATTTTGTATTGTTTTTGATAATAAAATACTTAAAATCAATTATAAATTTGACCATTTTTATTTGTACATATCTTCAAAATAATTTTCGTTCTATTTTTCTACATAAAAGTTTAACAACTGTTTTGTAAAAAGTTTGAATGGTATTGACATTGTACTGGAGTATTCTTCATTAAATTGATATTTTACATCTTATGCCGTTAGAATGAAAAGTATGTACTTACCACCTAATCGCCAAGTTATATCAATTATTTTGTTTATTGATATTTCCTCCATTTTTCAAACAATTACATTTATTTTAAGAAAACTGAATAATTAGTTTTTATTGTCAAAACTTGGTTCTTGTCATTGATACTAATAAAAATATGATTTATGCAATGTTTACAATACTGAACATTTGAGGTTATATTGATGCTAAAGCAACATCATACAACCTGATACTGTGATTATCATGAACAAGATGTCAGTACTACTCTAACCAATAAGGAATGTTGTTTATGTTGCTAAAACATTTATTTTGTAGCTTCTAAGGCCAGAAAAATTACAGTATTTGATATTCAAGTTGTAATTAACATCTTGTTTCATTTTTTTCTCTTTGAAAAATTAAAAAATACTTTATTTTTTCATTTTGAGTAACGTGGTGGTTAGCAGACGACCACTTGTTAGGATCATAAATAAACCCACGAAAGCGGCGCCAGTGCTCGGCCAAATTTAATACACGATACAAAATCACATAGAACAAGAACATTGCACAGGAATATTTTCTCAATGTGGAAGCCCTTAGTGTCCATGGATCAGCCTGAGTAAATCAGCTGAAGGTTTCGATTTGACCCAGCACTGAGTGGCGCCAAAAAAGTCAACCACGTAGTTTTTATATTGTGTTGTAAAAAATTACTATTAAAATAATTATTTCAACTAGATAATTTTATACAAAAATGTTGAAAGAATACTTTTTAGAGTACCATGCGGAAGAGCTTAAAGAAATACTAAATGATCCAGACGAATTCAAGGTTTTTCCTATCTATGTTGAGTAAGATATTGTTTAGTTGAAAGATGCAGGCAATGAACTGTTTAAGTTAATTTTTCTTTTAATTATTCATTAAATTTTTTAGTTTTATAGCTCTCTTTGAAAGATATGCAGAGAAAGCAGATAAAATATTAAGACGACCAAGGCAATATTTACCACAGTGTGATGCTTCTGCTATTGAAGCTCAAGAAGAAATTATTGGGGAATATCAGATAGTTAAAAAAAAAGTAAATCTTGTATTTGAAAAAAGAGTTTTGGTGATTACTATATGTCAAGTCATACCTTTATTACTAATTTTAGATTCGAACAAGAGTGCATGGTATAGTTGAAAATATTGATCAAGCAAAAATTGGAGAACTGATCTCAACTACAGGTTTTGTAGTTCGTATTTCTCAACCTTCAGTATCAACTGTATCTAAACATTTATTGTGCAAAAAATGCGAATACATCACTATAGTCAAAGTAAGCAACCATAATTAGTTATACGAGAATAATCAAATTTATAATTTGATTTTATTTAGCTTGAATGGGAGAGAGATAAAATTCCAGATATTAAAGAATGTGAAGCTTGTAAGAAAAAAAGTTTACATCCTGAAACTTCAGTTGTAGAACAAGAATGTGCTGATTATCAGGAAATTAGAATACAGGTAAAAATATTTTCATTTTTTATACTGTAAATCTTTAACATATTTTGAAATAACTTAATACTTTTCTAGGATAAATCTCAAAGTGTCAATAGTACAATGACAAGTGCATTGCGAGTTGTATTACTGGAAGACCTGGTTGACAAATGTACATCTGGTGATCATGTTAATATTGGGTATGAATATAATTCATTTCCTTGATTTTTTTCTTGAGGAAAACTAATAATTAAATTATTTATTTTATCTAAAGTGGTTACTTGGTAAGAAAATTTGAGAAATTTGCTGAAGGTCAGCGCGCCACAGCCACAACATTTTTATTAGCAAATAGTTTGTTGGTACGCAGAAAAGTAGCAGAGTCAGAATTTTGTAGAGAAGAAATTACAAAGATTTTTAAGAACTATTGGAAGGGATATAGTGAGAAACCTTTGGATGGTAGAGACAATATACTTGCATCAATATGTCCACAGGTAAAAACACTACTTTTAAAAGTAAGATACATTAATTATGAAAAATACTTTCATATATTAATTTAATTTTGTTTCAAGTTATATGGCATGTACAGTTTAAAATTAGCACTTGCTATCATACTAGCTGGAGGTGTACCAAAAACTACTGATTCAGGTATTTCAATTTCAATTTCAATCTCAACCATTTCAAACAGATATCTGCTTTTTGCAGGTACTAGAGTCAGAGGTGATCCTCATCTACTATTGTGTGGAGATCCTGGTACTGGAAAATCTCAAATGTTAAAAACAGCAGCAAGATTAGCAGCTCGTTCTATCTTAACAACTGGTGTTGGAAGTACTGCTGCTGGTCTCACAGCTGCTGCTATAAAAGTGAGTTTAGGAAACGCGTGAATCAAGCGGAAAATCACGTTAAATTTTTTATTTCAGGATTCAGATGGTTGGCATTTGGAAGCTGGTGCCTTGGTTTCAGCCAATGGAGGTGTTTGCTGTATAGATGAATTAACAACCATGAGTACTAATGATATGGCATCAATACATGAGGCTATGGAGCAACAGACAATATCAATTGCAAAAGCTGGTTTAGTTAGTACATTGAACTCCAGATGTACTGTAATTGCAGCGATAAATCCAGTTGGTGGCAGATTTGTTGATGGAGAAGAAGTGAAAATGAGATTAGGTGGTCCTCTTTTATCCAGGTTTGATCTGATTCTTTTTTTAAGAGATATTCACGATCCGCAATGGGATGAATTAGTCTCTAGTCATATTCTTCAAGCTGCAATGACTGGCGGCGATTATCACACTCAGTAAGTTAAAGTAACTTTTAATCACTAATTAGTTTAATTTTTTTATAATAGAAGTATAAACTTTATTTTAGAAATATTAAAAACTATTCTTCATCCAAGAGCGTACGAAAAGAAATAAATAATCACAACATATCTGGCGCAGAAAGTGCGGAAATGTACGTCTATGAAAATAGTTTTGAAAATCAAAGTAAAATGGTGTTTACTAATTAACTTAAAATTTTAGAAACGCTACGGGTACTTTGAGTCTTTTGAAAACTGATGGTCTATGGGATGAGAAAACATTACGAGAATATTTCGCACATATACATAGTCTTAGACCAGTTATGACGAAAGAAGCAGAAAAAGTTTTGCGCGCGACTTACTTGTTCCACAGACAAAGAAAGGAAAGAAAAGAGGAACGGACGACTGTTCGTTTGATGGATAGTTTAGTTAGGTAAAAACATGCAATATAGGACATGAAAAATCTACAAGAGGTTTTGTTAAAAAAAAAACTTTTAGATTGGCCGAGGGCCATGCCAAGTTGATGTACCATAGAGAAGTACTGATAATGGATGCAATTTTCGCAATTGAGTTGATAAATTTAACTAATGGATTGGGGAATGAGAACAACAGGTTTCCAGAGGACTCAATGATCGCATACAAGGAAGAAGGTCAGTTTTGATAAACACAAGTGTTTGCAACATTTTCAAAATATTTTAATGGTTTATGAAAATAATATGAATACAAAAGAAAAAGAAAATAACCTTCATTTTATCGTACAAGGTGATCGTTAAATAATGATTAGTTAGCAAACAACAGTACATGTATATGTGTGTAATTCTTTTACAGGAGCGGATCTACTCAGTATGCTCAACTTGGATGATCTTGAAAAACATTTGTGAAATGAGATAACTACAGTAACGTTACTAAATTGTCATTTCGAAACAAAGTCAAGTTAACTAGACAAGTACGGTTTATACACAATTTATTTTTTCATTTTTATTGTAAAATCAACATTGTGATATATAAGTAAATGTTAAGACTAAAAATTTGCAGTACTTTTGTGATTATAATACTGCAAAAAAAATGGACAAATGTGTGTGTGTGTGTGTGTGTGTGTGTGTGTGTGTGTGTGTGTGTGTGCGTGTGCGTGTCGCGTGTGCGCGTGTGCGTGTGTTCCTATTTTATATTTTCTTCATTACAATGATTATTTTTTTTCTCATAATAATTTGATTTTCAAAAAGTAATATTAATATGTACAACATAAAAGCGTTGAATACCGTTTCTAACACAACAGAATTACAATTTAAATTTAAAGCTTTTTAATCATAATAATTTATTTTTAGTTACGGGAATGAGGTAAAGAAGCGAAAAACGATCCTAAACGGACTGTGAAAAATGTAGAAGAGAGCTATATTATAACGTAACATGATGAGCTCGTCGCACTACATTTTCTTGTCATAACATATTTTCTTATCACATTGCACAACATGTCTCATTCTCGACGGATTCTAAACCATAAACTTATCTTCTTTTTTTTAAGTGTATGCATTCACTCGGATGCGCTCGATTTTCCTAAGAGATAAATATATTTTACGTTTTTGAAAAAAAACCTTCTCCATTTAAATGATGAATTCGCGAAAAGCTTACCACAAACTGATTGTGTTTTCTATCTGAATTAAAAAAGCTCTTCTCTTACAGTATACCTGAATATAATTCTTATCCGTTACTCGTAAGGTGTTTGTTTTTTTTTGCTGGCAATTTATTTAGTTAATAGCGTGGTTGCGTCATTTGATTGACTTGCTGACGGACAGCGGTGGCGGCGACATTCGAAGCGGCACCCTGTACATGCTCGTTACGAAGAAACGTCGAAGTGAACTCTTGCTGGGCTTTTTGATAGCTTGCGCCTGTTGTACGGTAGATACGATGCACCTGAAAACATTGTTTTTATTCTTATTTCAAATTTTGTTTTAAAAAACATGAGAAATAAATACTTTTAAAACTGAAACATGGAAAATAACTTTTGTCATTTAGCTTATTATTTTTTTATTCATATTACAATTCTGTTTCATTTACCTTTGAAAGAAGAATAATTTCACCTACTGCTGCCGTAATAAATGCGATAGCAATTAGCAGCACAAGTATTCCCAAGAACATGCCTTTAGCATCCGACTTGAATGTTGTAATTGCAGTAATAAGACCACTGAAGGAAGAAAATTGTTATTTAACTATGTTGTAATTAAATTAATAAAATTTTATGAAACAGTATTTCTTCTTACCATGTTCCAACGCTATTAATTCCAATAGATTGGACGATTGTCACTACAATTTGGAAAAAGAATACGAAGAAAAATACCATAAAGTTGAAGGAACTGTCACTCCTGTATTAAAATATAAATACTTAATTTCATGGTAAATATGTTATCTTGAAGTAAAGCAATGTACGTACTTAAAAGCTTGATATGCTGGTCTAAACCAGCAAACAAAGGAGAATGGTGTAAACATAATAACATACAGAATACCCAGTCCAAATATAGTAACGTTGCCTTCAGCTAACATTAAGACCAGTCCACCAATTACATTTAATATTAGTACTAATCCGTAATCTGTAAAATAATTGTATTTTAAACAATTTTTAAAGTTAAAAAATACATTTTGAAAAATAAATTTGGGACTTTCATTGAAAAAAGGACTTACATATCCACATGTAGTACAATTGTCGGACGATTTTCTGAAATTCAGTTTGTATTTCAACATCAATATCTTGGTAAAAACAGGGCTGTACACAACACTTTTCAGGCAGAGGTGGCCAATTGTTTCTTCTTGCTATAATAAAAGAAAAAAATATCCATTACTTTAAATTTAAAACCATTGACATTTTTATAACTTTTATTTTTTTAAAGTTGATTATACTCACGATAGTAAGGTGTATTGTTTATGTTTTGTTCATTCCTCTTCCATGGCTCATCAGATGGTTGCTAAAACGTGAAAAGGACTAAGTAAGTACAGTAATGTAGTATTTTTCACATGCTTGAGAAGATAAAGAAAGTACTCACACTAGTAGGTGAGAACATCCCACTGCTAGACTGAGGTATGCTTTGTTGAGCACTACGTGAATAGTTGGGCGGTGGTGCCTCTTGGCTGGAGGTTTGCAGCATAGCTGGTTGTTGAGTGGTTGAAGTGCCTCCATAGAGAGGTGGATTGGAAGCTCCTCTGACTTGATTGCCAGCACCTCCTGTTGGTTGATCCGCAAATGGATTATAGTCTTCAATGCCTCTGTTTGGTATTGAACTTGCTGCCTTACGTACTGCTGGGTCCTATAGATAAAAAATTACTCTAAATGTATTTTTCAGAGATTACAAAAACAAAATGTAAGAGAAGAGATTTATTGATATAATATGATTCCTTTACAACTAAGGACAAAATGAAAAAGAGAAGGGGCAGAGACTTGTATTGTCTGAAGATCAAATTTCACTTACTAGAAATTAATATGCCACTTGCAAGGTTTATGAAATACAGATCGTAAGAAGTAAAAAAACTTGAGAATCTAATTCTTTTTACTTTCTTTTTACTTCTTTTTACTTTAATGAGAGAATACATTTTTTACAAAATTCTAATTTATTCGAACTACAGATACTTGAGAGTGCATATTTAATAAATGCCTTATCTCTTAATACAATTTCATACAGAGATGTCACTCCATACAATAATTACTTTTACTTATATAAGCTCTACTTTGATTATTAATGAAACTTAACATGATAATTTATGCATTCCAGAACTATAATATTCAACTAAAAATTTGTTCTACGTTATGTAACTATCACTATAAGTTTATGAATAATGATAAATATTTTTACTCATGTATATTAGTTTTTATTTAAATAAACAACTACATAACATTTTTCAATCTTTTCTTTTGAATTTTATTTAGTAAATAATCACTAATAAATAAATTTATTTTTGTTTACAGATTTTAAATTTTTAAAGGTTTAGATTTGATTATTTTTTAAAATTAGCAACCATATGCAGGTATTGCATGATCTTAGATAAATAAGTCTAACAAACATTACTATATTTAACAAAGTCAATCAAGATAATTTTCACTGCTACTTTCTAAATATGATTCAACAATGACTGTAATCTTATCATTTAAAGCTTAATTATCAATTATTGATCTATTAGCCAATGATACATTTTATTAGTGATATCATTTAAAACTAAAGTAATTTGGGTTAAATTTCTAGGAAATTTAATCAGCTAGATAATTTTTGTCATTTTGTTTCAAATTATCTTTATTTTCAGTATGCAAAGTAAACTGAAAATAATTCCCTAAAATCATGACATCTGTTGGACTGAAGATTCTAAAATCAAAATGTAAACAGAATAAATGAATCAGGAAACTTATAGCTCCCTTATTCATTAAAATCGGATATATAAATGCCTTACTAATAACCAGTATGATAACTGCGAAACAAGTGCTTATAAAAAAATTAGCGAGCGAGTGACGTACACTGAATTCCTCTCATGGTTACGAGGTGACAGTCTACCGAAAATTCTAACCTAGCAGACAATTCTGGTTACCTCTTTTATCTTGTATCTACTAAACAGTAATCAACCGCCATTTACGCATTTACCGTAGCTTATTCACGTACTCATACATCCGCCTTATCAATTCAACTTTAAGCGTTTTTCCAATAATAATAGATCGAAAGAAAAGCACGAAAAAAGCTTTCGTGGCCTATGTGTCACACGGAGAAAAAGATAGATAGTTAATTTCAGAAAAGGCACTTAAGAGTTGAAAAACTCACCGCGAAGGGATCGTTGTTGACGTTGGGCTCGCCAAAGGGATTTTCGTCAAATCCCGACATGTTAACTCCTTGTCGGATTCTCCTCCACTCACCTCCTCTTGCACTCACTCACTGTATTTGTTGTCTTTGTGAATAAATGGTTTACACGACGTCGATCGATACACTTTCTTTGGCGTGCGCTATACAGAGATTGCGGGAAAATTATTTTGGTTGTACGTTACCCACAACACTTTGCACTTAGAAACATTGCTCGCGAACAAAACTTTATCGCCTTTCAGTTTGCTCACTCTCGCCACACACTCTACCACGGACGTGTCAACCACCAAGTGTGCGTGCATAAACAATATGTTCGTCGCGAATGTGTGAACACATGTGTGCATACACATGTGTGTGATTATATATTCCATGTTTCATTGTGTTGCTGATTTGTGGCGACATCTACGTATACTCCTAAGGTAAATTAATTATTGATATTCGTAATATTTGAATATATATTTTTTATAAATAGACTAACGATAATAAATTGCAGTGGAAAATGAATTCATCATACATTACATTGTCATATTTTTGTCAGTGTTATACGACTTATATATTTGTTATTTTAACAATTATAGCTTTTCTAAATCAAGTATCACTTTTAATTTGACAAATATGATTTTAATAAAAACTTTCCTAATAAAGTAGAATGAAATCAAATACGTATTGCATGCATGGTTATTAGCTTCAAATTTCTGGTATTGAAATTATAACCTTGCTTTTGTAAGTGTAACGAAATTAAGAAAAGTGATTGTTCTGATATGTTAACGCGTAATTAAATAAATGTGCAGGTTTTGTGTCTCACATCTTAACTGAGTGTTCAACAGTATCGTTATTTCACTAACCGGCATTTCACTAACCATTTTTATTTTTAGAACTACGATGGTTGTGATAATTTTCTAGTTTAATAGATTTCTATTTTCAATAGATCGAGTATAACTGAGTACTAAGAGGATATATAGACACGACGCTTTTGTTATTGATCGGCTGCGTTAAACTGCATTCATAATCTCGTACTCATATTTGAAAAAAGTATTTTAAAAAATATACAAAAATTAATTGAAAGCTTTATTTAACGTAATAATTAGATAATTACTTTATCGTGCTTATTTCAAGTACATAAGCATCGTGATATTATCCTTGCTTTCATCGTACATCTTTACAACGAAAGATTGAATAACAGTTTTGTAAAACTTTGATAATAAGAGGTTAAAAATGAAAAAATTATTTGTAAGATAGAATAGACTTTTATCAGGCGGTAATTATATTTTTCTTCAAATTTCCTTTTCTGCAGTGCAATTTTTTAGTACTGTGTAATAGATATTCTTATTTTATTTTCACAATATTCAAGTGACATTAATTAAAAATAAGTTGAAAGAAAGAATATTTTTGGAAGATTATTCTTATGTAAATGATATAGTTAAATTATTTTCAATAACATTTTATTTCGTGGTCCAAATATAAAAGCATCGAAATCGTCGAGTACATATGATATTTTAACAAAAATCACATTCGATCAAACGAAACTTAAATTTCTTCACTTATACCAGAAACAAATATACAAATAAAAACTGCTCTATAGGTAAAAGGTAGATAACAAAGTTTGACACATTGCACAATTCAACTTAAAAAAAATACCAATTTGATCTATAGTAATAATATAGTCCTGATATAACTTGCAGCGACAAATGAACCTGAAACAAAAAGGTTTGTGCAAAATTAACTTGGAAAGCGATTTATTTATATATTAATATGCCTGCTATAAAAAGAAATAATTTTATGACTATGAAAAATATAATCTTTCAACTAACTTTATGATTATAACGTTTTTTTCTTGTGAAACAACTCTACTCAAAAATAACGATGTATGGTGGTTACCTGTCAATATATGTTTTTTGACAATTCCATATCTACGACAACTTGACATCTTCGTCTTCACTTTTTTCGTTATTTGAATAAATGATTTTTTTTTGCATACATAAGCTAACGAAATGAACATTCGTGATCGTTTATTTTGTACTGACACTGTGCAAATAGTACTTGTAAGTCTTATTAAATATCTGTGATATTTTGCGCTAAATATACATAAAGATGTGCACTACTAAATGTATAACTCTTTGGTGGATCTGCCATACCACAATCGTCGTTTTTATAAATCCAACGATAAAAGTCGACGAATCGCGAACTTAAAAATCAATTGTCTATATAAACAAATTCTATAGAATTTTTTCACACTCGCGATAATTCGGTTTATTCTTGTTCATTTCACGTCCCTTTTGATCAAACTCACGGACATTGAAGCGTTTCACCACTCGACTGGCGAATTTTCATTGCTAATTTCATCGCGTTCGGGACCTTGACGCATCTCGTGCAACCTTTGACTTTGCTGTTCGTGGTTGAGTTTCCGCCACTTGATCCGTCTGTTTTGAAACCATACCTTCACTTGTGCTTCCGTTAAACGTAATGCGTGCGCCAAGTATAATCGTTCGGGTCCCACCTACACAAAAAACAAAAAAGAAACAAAAAAAAAGAAAACCCTTGAATTGATTCTTATTTGAATAAGGAAACTTCTTTGATTTAATTTTATGAAATATTTACAGCTAATAATTTTTTTTACTTTTAATTAATATTTTTCAACTATTAATGAACATATTTCGAAGCAAATACATTATTTTTTGCATAAACAAATGCTAACTCCGTTTTAAAGTAGACGAATTTGACAATATTATTATATTATACTATGCGTATATTTTATAAAACTATAATAAATTCAACCTCGAAATTGGAATTATTCAACCACCTTTAGATGATTATATAAGTAATAGAAAAAGCTCTTTGCTATTCATATTATTATATTATTATATTCATATTATTCATATATTATTAGTTTTCATATCTGAAATAGTCGTGAGTGGTAAATATTTAATTTAAATTCAGGATATCCGTGGTGTTCATAGATTTCGCCGACTCTTCTTTGGTGTGCCGATGAGTATGATTACTGAGGTACTGTATATTTCGGCATGCAGAAAAAGTCAATAATTTGCAGCAATTGAATCATTTCAGGCTTATGTTTTAATTAATTTCTTTATTAATTTTTCAAAAGTAATGGAAGCGAGAAAAAAGTCATTTTATTTATAGTACTCACCATGTACTGCTGTCTAGCAAATTCGCCTTCGAGTCGCTCGAGCTGCTCGGCCGTAAATATAGTGCGGACCCGCTTGAGCTTGCCGCTAGCTCCACTTGCGTTACTACCGCCATTGGCACCGTTCGAGCAGGAGCTGGAGGACAAGCTTTTTGCTGTGCCTTCTTGACCTGACGGTAAATTTCACAGTTTTTTTTAGACTTTTGAGAATTTTAAAAAGTTAATTATCATTACATTGTTCTTTGATACGTAGTCTAGATTTTTCTCACGGTTTTTGAGAGTATCTGTTTATAAGACTTTTAAGTTTTAGAGATTTTACTCAATTACTGATGATATTGAGATAAAATAAAAATTTCAATAACTGATAAATTTTCACTTGTTTTTAAAAATGAAGCATCGGTTATTTATCACAATTTTATGAAATACTCAAGCCATCAATGACAAATATTAAAAGAAGAAAAATATCGGAATTTTAATTCTTTATAATAATGTTTTATACTCTTTAACGACGTTCTAAATATTTCTTAATTTTAATTTTCTAAAACCCATTTTCGTTTACTTGTAAACTTTTACCAAACTCACTATTCACACGGAGCTTAAATATTGAAAAATGCATGGCACAATTAAAGAAAAATTGGTTATACAGAACCTTTTCAAAATTTACATTAATCAACAACTTTATTAACTAGATTTTTCAGGTATAGAAAATAAATTGTAAACCAGAGTTATTGAAGTAACAATTAGAACGAGTGGAAATCTACTCAGACGATTGATCTAGCCAGTGTCCTAATTTCACTTAGATAAGGTAGGATTAAACATTTAAGTTGGGATATTTAAGTAAGAGCTGATTAAAATATGTATGTTTGTGTGTGTTTGTATATATTCTTTAGATTTTTTCAAATTTCACATTCTAACAACTAATGCAATTGTAATTTTTGTGCTGGCACAGTTCTTAATCTATGTACGTTTGAAAGGTGTTAAAAAATGTATCGATCATTCAACGTCGCCAAAAAGTTAAACTATAGCAACGAACCCTGATGTTTCCTGTACGCATGGCAGCGAACATGTTTGTCTCTTTGTGCGCCACCTCTAAGACCCAGTATAGCATCGATTGTAAAAGATTTAGTTTGCTGCTGTCCAGGTTGATGTGGCGATGCAGCCCCGTGTGCTTGAATCTGCGTGATGGCATGATGTGGTTGCAGATGATGATAATGAGAAAAATGTGCGGGATTCGTTGAGTTCTGATGGTTAGGGTCTCCAGCTTGAAACAAGGGATGCGAGTGCCTTAACCGCTCGAAGGCAATTGTTGCATCTTGACCTAGCGCTGCACCACGGGATTGCAACTGTTGTAGATTTTTTAGATCTTCCGGCTCGAGAGATGAATTGCCTTCGCCTGATATAAAATAAAGCTCATATGGTTGCGCTGTATAATAATTGTTATGTGTATAATGAACGAGATAAACAGTGACAACATTTTTTTCATGCTGGAATTTAATAAGGAAACTTGCTCTCATATTGCATTGATTTTTCCACAAATGTATACGTCTAGTTACAGTTAAATAATTTGAACTAGTAAATATACAAAGTAATAGCATTGAGTGCCATGGTAAACCCATGCGTTTAAATTTAAACGTTTAATGTGACGTCACTCATAAGAAATATATTGCCACGAATTTTAAACACTTTTGAATGTTTAAATTTAAATACATGTGATTTTGAGATTTTGCCGTGTACTATGACGTCATAATACTGAGATGAAATTGGCGATACATTTTAAGTGTGGGTGCACAAATCAAAATTTACTCCATTCGACTCTTGATAAAATTTATATATTTGTTTCTTTAATATAAAAAGAGCGTTTTATTTTCTATAAAAAAATATTCTGACATCCATCTAGTGATTTCATTGATTCTCCGTCTTGATACGCAGATACAAACTAGTATAAAAAAATGCACATTTCTTGAGTTACTGTAAAGGCTACTAAAAGACTGAATAAGTTATGGTTACATATTTTGCAAAATCAAATTTTCGTGCACTCTTAACATCTTTGGAAACGGAAAAACAGTGAGAAATCATAGCAAATGGTAATGCTAAACGAAGTATTCAAAATACGCTGAAACACCCATCGGAAGTGTTTCGTTGATTCTATTCGTACATATCACATAAAGTTAACAGTTATTATTATACGTAGAATTTTAGAAGAGTAGCTAACTTAACTACCATTACGTTGAGGTTTCAATTGTCAAGAAAAAAATAATATCCTTACCATACAAAGGACCGGCGCGAAGCCTATCCAAAGCGATGCTGCCAATCCTCGTTAATCCACCAAACTCCTTCATCCTGTCGAGCGGGAAAGAGTAACTTTTGACAAGTTCGAGTTCCTTGCCAGCACCAATGGCGCGTTCAAGAGTTGCGTGCAAATTCTTCTGCTTGATCTCGCGAATCTCGCGGCAGAAGCTGTACATCGCTTCCGTTTGGTCCTTGCTGGCGTTCGCACCGGCGCCAGCGCGAAACACGCCGAGCGGCGGCTCGTCGACGCTCGACGACTCGTACACTGTGACGGGCAAATATCGGTTATCGCTTATTGAGCTTTCATACGTGCCGTTTGATTTCTGATCTAACTAAAAATGTGCAGTATCATTCGTCGACGTCAATGCGAGCGGCCATTGAAAACTACGCGTGATCGTTTCACACGGAAGAACGTATTAATATCTTCAGTGCTCTGGGCGGTATGTGCCTCGCAACTTCGGCAATGCTCAGACAATGTGTCTAAGAGAGAATGATTCTTGTTCAATTTTGGACTATTTATGAAAAACTCACCCAGTCGCCTTCCGAAATTTCCGAAAATACTGCGAAAAGCAAGCGTAGCTGGGTCAAGCATTCCAATTCAAAATTGAACAAGATTGAGAAATCTATGAAATTGTCAGTACCTATATGGATTCCCATAGAGGCTCCACCGTCGTCATAGAAATACGTGAAAACTATTCAATTACTTTCGTGTAAGCAGTGTATTATCAAAAATTTATGAACCTCATAATATCAGTTCGTGGTTAAACATTAAAAGATGCTTTTATCAAATTATTCACTAAAAACTTAAATGAAATCAACAATCAAATAGCGCTTCTGAATGTAGATTATTTCGAATGCTTATAGCTTTTATTACACTTGATTTTAAATCATACGAAAAAGTTCGCTACCTCGGAATTGTAAAATCTGTACGTTAAAGTACAGCATTTACGAAAAAAGTTGCTGCTTTCGAATCACAAGAACGATATTTTCAAATCAAATAAAAAGTCTAAAGTATCAAGAAATACACGCTGACCGTCGGGTCTCTGCGGTGCATAATCCTTAGGTTTGTCCAAGGCAATTGGCGCGTCAGCAAATCTACCGACGGACGGATCTTCGTCATCGTTTCGATGCCTCGTTAAATCCTCCATACTATTTCTGTTGTACGGTTGAAAACCAGCTAGCGACGGTTGCTCTGAACCCGTGCTCGCGTTACTGCTATCACTGCGATCCGAGGATAAATCCTCCGCCATTGTTTGGTCCGTCGAGTCCATGTTTATGTGGTTCACACTAACAATTCAGCCTAGATGTTCTGCTATACATTGTCTCTAACATAATATCATTTTTGCTTAATTAACGTCTTTTTTGTAGGAAGCCCGCGTTGAATGGTTGGAAAGCTCTAATGGTTGTTCGAAAAGCATCGCGGCAAATCCATCGGAGTTACTATTCAGATATTTCAACTATGCCAATATTATCCAGTTCAAAATAAGTCGGACTTTTTATAGATTTATCACCCTGCACCTCGTCAATCAATCATAGCTGCAAACTCTCTCGAACGGCTCTCGAAATTCGACGATAATCACCTGTAACTATGTACTAAGATGTTACTCTTCCAACATAAGTAAAACTGCACTATTTCATTACGAGATCGCATCAAACTCAAAGCTTCACGTTCAAAGTCAATCGCGTTTCCAGTAAGAAATCACGTGTCGTTACCCGAATCAAAAAAAGCCTCACTTCCGGAGAACAACGAGAACACTCGTGGTCGCGCACTTCACCACGCGCGAAATAATGATGTCAAGGCGGGAAGAGAGCGGTTGCTATCTCTGTACCACCGAAGCGAACAACAGGCAGCAGCAGCAGCAGCAGCAGCAGCAGGAGCAGCACCGTCGTCGTTGCTAATGATCCTGCGCGGACGAGAAGCAGCAGCCAATAATGCCTCGCGGCGACGGTCAGCCTCCACCCTTCTCTCTTCTACCTACCCCCGTTTATCTTTATTATTTTTTTATTTTTCGGCTAGTAGGTGGGGGGACAGATGCCTTCGCTTGATGAAAGATTTAATTAAGCTTTTTGTCGAGGGGAGGGAAAAGAGGAGAATTTTAATGAGGGAGCCTTTTTAATTGGAGTTGAACTATTGTTACGTGGATTTTGCCGAATAAGCTTTAGGATGGGTAGATAAAATCATGACCAGATGAAAATTTCAAATATTATATACGTGAATTTTTACGCTATTCATACCATTTGCAAATTTTCCATTCGATGATTACGTATTTTTATAATTACGTTGCATTGAAAAATTGAAAAAATAAACATCGTTTTATGCAACAGCACTAGTACTTTTACAGAACTTTACATAGATTATATTTAGATGTTTAAAAATGTATTTATGATGTATGAAAAAATACAAAATGCGATTTATAAAACATATGTCATGGACAATTTTTCAGTTTAGAATGGGAAGTGACTATTTCGAATTAATTGAACTACAAATAAAAAAGTAGAAAAAAAATATGGAATCGAATCTTTCGAGAAAATGGTCATCGAGAATCCAGCTAATTTAGCTTTGGAAGATCATCAAGGACTAAAAGAAACATGGCAAATGACTTGCTGGCGTGCTCGGAGGTATCTCGGTGGTGAACCCACAAAACAACTCTCTCCCTACCCTTAATGCTTTCGCAAAGGTTACCACCCCCTCCCGAAAGCTCGATATTTTTTCACGTGCTCTGATTGGCCAACCACGCCTACCAACCCTTCTACCCCTCTGCTCAACCCTCCTCCTTTCGCTGCGTATTGCGATTGAGAGATTTTCCATCATTTTGGGCTCGTTTTCGACGCGTCGGTCCTGATACTTCGTTTTGCAATTGTTCTGTCAGTTTCGTTATATGGCGATTAGTTATGACGGTACATGGGATCAATTTAAAAAAGATGGGAATATTTCACAGGTTTGGACATCGGCAGCTTTTACGTTGACCTGCATGAGATTATCGTTTCGGAATTGCAAATTTTCGTAGATTGTCGAATTTAAACTAAGAGCTGAACGAATACGGCAACTCCAACTTTATTATTTTTTATAATGCACATTACATCCAAACATATACAAGTTGTGAAAGCTATATTGTAGTTTAGAGAGACCAGCAGACTTTTAAAAGATTAAAACTTTAGTAAAGTCACAATCAAATGTTATAGCCGCAACATGCAGGCGAATAGGCCAGCAAGGAGATCTCGACAATATATACAGTAAAATAGCTATTTAGGCTCTTTTTATATTTCTTTTCACTTCGTCGTATTAATTACTGATAACCTTATTCATGATTTTGAAAAAGAAAATTAAAATTAGCTTTGGACACATCTTTTTTAAATTGATCCCATGTACCGTCACAACTAATCGCCATATAACGAAACTGACAGAACAATTGCAAAACGAAGTATCAGGACCGACGCGTCGAAAACGAGCCCAAAATGATGGAAAAATTAAAATTCAACCAACCGAAGTTAGTATAAACAATTGAATTAGAAAATAAAGTGTACTACAAGTATCTTACGTTTTATAAGAATATGTGAAGTCTAAACGAGTATTTAATGTCAAATATTAACGACGAAAAACAATACTACATACGTACATATACATAAATACATACAATTAATACAAGTACACGTTTTTCTTTCAATACATATGTATATGTGGTAATGGTAGGCAGTGTTAAGTTAACTATATATTATTTAAAACAAGATCAAGATCACCTAATAATCAAGGAAATATTCAGATAGTCATGATATACTTTGAAAATATTTATGAAATTTCCATGCTCACTTGCGGTTGCTTGCAGAACCTACCTTTCTTGAAAGATGTGTTGGGTGGTCAACTATTACTTCAACATAGCTTACCGGTGGTCGAAGCAGTGCAACACAGTGCAATGTAATGTCATTGCATAAAGTAGTCTTAGTAAAGTATATTATCTGGCGCAGTGTACGAATCATGAAATCCTCGGCTTGATTTTTATCCTTTCAAAAATATGCTACTTTTTTGTGACAATAATTTCGCAATGCCATTTATTTTGCTATATATTTCTTGATAACATTTTTAGTAGCTGATTTTTTTGTAGCTAATTTAGGTGATGATCATGACAGCTAATATATGTAAACAAAATTTCAAGTTCTGTGTCAAAACAAACTAAATAAAATATAAATTATACAATATCTCTACTTGGCGTTTTACTGTGTTAAAAATACGTATGTACAATTTCAGTCTATGCTATAACATAAATTGCGACTGCATAACGAAAAAAATTGAAAAATCAAGTACATTCTTAAACTATATTTGGAAGAATATAGAAATAATAACATTATTCTAATAAAATTATTATAAATAAGACAATTTTATTTGTAAAGTTTCGCGATGGAATATATTTTTTAAGCTATTCATTATGACTTGAAAAAAAGACTCAATTTCTGATATAGCGTTCGTCGGTTTAACAGCTCCTTGCTTACTAATATTGCTTTCAATTTCTATAGTTAGCTTTGTTTCTTTTCTCTAGCTTACTCAAACTTGATTCCGCGTATTTCTACGGTCTGATCAAATTAACTGGTCTACCACTTAAAATAAAGTAGAATGCATTTCCGTACCATTGGAGTACGATGAACACATTAAAAATTAATTTCACTCTTTTCTTGTTTTCTACAACGACATTTGGTGTAAATAATATATTTTTAAAATTTCGTTGTTTAATTCAACGTTACTTACAATTTGTCTCGCCGACTGACATTCAAGAAAGATGGCAGACAAAATAAAGGAACAAAAAAAAATATAAATAATTATAGAAACAATCGAATTTGGAGATTATTTTTTGCACGAAAATGATTATTCTAGTATAAAACTTGAATGTAATGAGAGACCAAACGTTTCTGTATTGAGCGCTACAAAGAAACCATTATCCTCTCAAGAAACGCTAAATCCTCTCGAATTACTCAACCACGCCGAAAATCCTCTCCAATTAGACGCTCGACAAACGTCTCTGTCATAGAGAATGTGCACCCTCGAAGGAGGCAAGAGTGAAAAAAAAGAAAGGCAAGGCGTATTTGCCAAGCGCGCGTCATAATAAAGCTCGAGCACGACGCCTAATTAAATAACCTTGTCGTCGTTAATTGGCACCTAATTACCAGCTGAGCGTGCCACGGAATTTCCAGGCGATTTCCCGTCGCTTTCGCGACTTTCTTCGAGGGTGTGCACTCGCACGCTCGATGCGCGATAAATTAGATTTGCTGCTTAGCACAATTATTATCATTTGTTATTCTCATTTTATAATCAATTCGATGTCATTGATTAATGCATATTGGCTTGCATATATATGTACTATAAATTGTGATATTTAAAAAAATTCGTGATTATCAAAAACAACCGTGAAACGTTATTTTAATTATATTATGGTAAGATATTTCTTATTGTTGTATCATGAATCTTATTGTATGTTGTTCGTCGTTCACCCTGCGATCCAAAAAAGAATTATTTTCATTACTGTACCTTTGTAACGGGCAATATTTGTCTCGTGCAAAATTTATACGAGCGCAGTATTGTGATCCTTTGCAATTGAAAGTAACTTGTGCGCTCTAAGTACCATGTACTTTTAAAGACCAATATCAATGGCAAGCTAGCCATTAACAAGAGTAAGAATGTCAGGGATAAGCATGACAAGCTAATATCAATATATAATCTAACTTTGCACCTGCAGTCATCTGTATCGCCCCCTTTCATCTGGGCGCTTGGCAAGCTTTCTGTCCAAAGACGCGGCCATTAGGGCGAGAGACGGGCGGTAGGGTAGGGGGTGGGGGGGCGGTAGAGTAGCGTTTGATATCGTCGCATACCAATTTGTGTACGCTCGGTGTGCGTGCGTATAGCTCGGATCTCGTTGCGTTATATTATCGCTCGATCGATGCGCTTAGTGACGCGAATATAAACGCCCCAGCTATGCGACTTTGATCCTTCGTCGTAGTAATATACTATTATTTTGCCCTTTTTTTTCAGGATTTCGTAAATCACGTTTTCTTCTCGACAAAAGTTTAATCGTTTTTTATGTGGCCTCATCGATAGATAACTTTGCATTTACAAAGGCATCATAATTTTTTTACAACCGATTTTCAAACAAATTCACTGTTATTATTTCTTATTTATCGGTTAAATTAGAAAATTTGGAATAGTTTAGTACATTGTTCATAACTTTTTAAACCCGTCCATCAAATTCTAAGATGTTTACACTTGTAGCTTCATTTTTTATATAATAATATACAATCATTTTTCAATCCTACAAACATTTGAATTAATTTACTGAGTTTAATGGATTTTGAATTCAATTAAGAGAATATACAACAATGTTTTGAGGTGAAAACAGGAAGCCATCGGCAAATTTCTTATCGCTTACGAAATCGATGGAAATGGCGATATAAAATTTACTTATAAAATTTTTCATCAAGCTTGTAACCAACATTAGACTTTAATATTATAAAATGTATGTAATAAAAAAGAAGAAAACTAGCTACTTTTTTCTTAATTTGTATCAATAACAACTTCACTATAATATGAACTAATTTTAATGTTCTAGTTTCTTTCTAAAAGAATTTCCTTTTGTACCAAAGAACTCGAAGAGTTGAAGATTCAACTGATCTTTTATTGATTATCGCTTTCTAAAAATGTCGTGTGCTATACTGAACTTTTTAACTATTTTAAAAATCAAACTGCGATTAGTTGGCACGTTACAGCAATATCCTTTTGGACGAAATATCATAAGCTCCAACAATAATTGAA